CTTGCCAGTACCAAAATGTAATAATAGGGTTTTTCCCTTTTTTCTGGCAACAAAACTGAAACCTTTTTGCAAGGATTCATGTCTGCATTAACCACAATACCTGCAGACAAAATGCAAACAAAAACATACTATGATAATATATGCATTGTCCTTGAAACTGATTGGTCCACACCAAGGGACGGCTTTCTTTTGAGCCTCGACCCAATTGGTGCTCGACCAGATGATGCCAAAAGGCATAATCTGGTCGAGCACCAATTGGCGTCATCTGGTCGAGCACAAATTGGGTCGAGGCTCAAAAGAAAGCCGTCCCTTGGTGTGGACCAATCAGTTTCAAGGACAATGCATATATTTTCATAGTATATTTTTTGTTTGCATTTTGACTGCAGGTATTGTGGTTAATGCAGACATGAATCCTTGTAAAAAGGTTTCAGTTTTGTTGCCAGAAAAAGGGGAAAAACCCTATTATTATCCTATTTGTCTCCTTTACAAAGGTAAACATTCCCCTCTTCGTTAAAACTTTGGATGGCCGCTCATCTGTTTTGCAATGTTTTTTTTACGGCAGTAACCAGATTATTCAGGAAGCACTGCAGTCGCTGCTGCAAGTGATACAATTTAGTTCTCGAGTGATTGATACCAATGTTTGTGTAGTTGATCCTGAGTGGCATGTCAACCTGAAGTTCATTTTCAAGAGCCTACTTTTCTGCTGCCTGAGATATCTAGGCTATAAGTGTTATTCAGCGATAATGTGTTTTTTACGTATATTGAACTTCTTTCGCACCGCACATAGTTATCCGTGCTAAACTTCAAGGCCAGTATGACCAATCGGGTAGGCAACTGCTTGTAATTTGGAATTAACCAGTGTAAAGAGATTACATCTGTATGAAGTCCTGTAGTCGTACATATTTTCCAAATTAGATCTTTCACAAAAGATTGTGCAAGTCAATAAATGGAAAGCGAGAGCGGACAACCCATGTTCGAATATATAACACAAAATAATCATTAGCATCATTGTGGAGAGTACATGTATCAAAATATATAAGCAGACAATATATTGCCTTTATATATCTTTCCATCGGCATAAAATTTATGAAGAAGATATATTGCCTGCTGTTTTATTTTGTTGCCATATAGCATGCTAAGGAATGACTGTCTTTCAGACAAAAATAACCATTACACTTTGCCATACACTCTGCCAAGAGATTATTTGGTACTTGACAGTTAAAGCATTATTTTAAATTCTCGGAACTGGAATACATCCAATTAAGTGCATAACCGAACTTGGTGTGTTGGTATTTTATGCACATATTGGTGACTGGGCTGAGACTGTTAACTTTTTTTTTACTTGAAGACTCGGTATAATCACTGCCTGGGGTCGAGCCCAGGTTCTCAATAGTGCTGACTCAGCGCTTTCACCTCCAAGCCACTTGGTCAACTCTTTCCCCTTAATGTGTGTTTATGAAACCAGCTATTGAGTAACCATTTGGCATAGCACCATGATAATACATTTTACTGTAAATTAAATGTAGATCACTAAACTATATCATAAGATCCTCAGAATCCACTTGATAACAAACCGTGCTCAATGTGAATGCCCTTCATTACCACATGCTTTTGGAGCTTCTTGAACTCAAATCCTGAAGAAGCTCTCATCACATGAAGCAAAAGGTCAGACATTTTGCCAATCAACACGCGGTAGAACTCAAAAACACATCACAGGGCTGTGCTGTAAGGATGTTCGCTCAGTGATAAGTGTAATATACTGCATGCTGAATGGTACAACAACAACCGCCATTCGCCACTAAGTGGCGGTGATGTCACCACGATGCTTGTGCCAGGCTATGTGCACCCTGAGGCCACGTGAAGTGTCGAACGACCGCTGGCAGGAGGTCACGGGGCAGACCCAGGTGCCACAGGTCGACTGACTGAGATGACTGGCTGATCCACCACCTGTGCCCCCTACTGTGGCAACCTGCTGTGCTTTAGCCACCCGGCGCTCCGCTCGTTGTTGTGAGCGTCGCTCCTCCGCCCTCCGTTGTTGTTGGAGGGCGACTGCCTCCAACTGCCCAGTAGCGTCCTTCACGAGCCTCCTCCACAGAGGCCGATCTTGACACCGCTGGTACCAGTCATCGGCAAGTCCACTCAGCTCCACGTCCTCCTGTACCACATCACTCCATCTCTTCTCTAGCCCGTGCCGCGCCCGCTTAGCCCCCTCAATCCGGCCGAACAAAAGCTGTTTCGGCATGCGGTGGCTGGGCATGCGGGCTACATGACCCAGCCATCGCAGCCTTCCCCGCCGGAGGAGCTCACCGATGGGACCTTGCCCAGATCTTTCAAGGATTTGTGAGCTCCTCACATAATCCAGTCTGGTTAAACCCAGGATGGATCGTAGGCAGGCCAGCCTAAATGTTTCTAACCGGCGGAGATGTTCCATTAGGGGGGTCCACGTTTCGCAAGCGTAGAGAAGGGAGGGAATGACCGTGGCCGAGAAGACCTGAAGCTTAGTGCGGAGCGACAGACCAGGTAGCTTCCACACAGCGTTACGCAACCGATGAAAAGATATTGCCGCTCGACTGATTCGGAGTGAGACCTCTGCTGTTAAACTGCTGAATGGTACACACACAGACACATGTTATGCATATGAACATATCGGTGGTACACCGGTGCAGCATAACACACCGGTTCTCATAAAATAGTCTAACGGTGTCGCTTTTGCTCTTGATTGAGATGAAGACTCTCCATCAGAAGTTGCATTTGATTCAGCAGCTGCTTTTTTCACATGTGAACGTGTGACATGAGCCATCATCATTTGATGCCACTGTCCGCCAATAAATTATTCCAGAAGTTAATCGAGGAATTGTGCAACCAAGTCTATGACGCGAGTCAAATCTGCCTTTGGAACATGGAGCCAATCGTCAACAGGCTGGTTGCTGTACGGCAACAGACAGTGAAGCTTCGTGTTCAGCTGCCCATAACATTTGTTTTCCAACTACTTCGACATCACGAGAACTGATTTTGATGCACACCGCAAGATTTTATGACCGGGGTTGCGAATTGTAAAATAAATAACATACCACGCACCGATATACCGCCAATACGTTCACTTGGTGGACAGTGTGCTAACAGCCCTTATGCTTTCTTTTTTTATTGTTAATCGCATTTTTCAGGGAAATATGAAACCTGTTGATTGTATACACTCACACTCTCTTATCTCTTTCCTCATATTTCAAAGCCTTCCTTAGCACAATAATCCTTTTCCGTTTCTACAGGTCGCCATTGCTAAGCTCTTTTGTGTTGGTTTCAAGTGAACCAGTATAAAAAAAAAGGGAGACTTGACCCCCTGTAGTCACACTCTGCACGAGGTAATTGGCAAGTTCCATTTAACATGAATTGGCATATGTTCCTGGAACATGAAATCATCCGAAAGACTACAATGCCTGGAAAGTTATAGTCCCCGTTACATTCGGTTTTTTTCACCATGTCCTTTTCCTCAGAATCTACTCATAAAATCACCACATGTTTAATTTGCTTGAGGAGTATTGCCGTGGGTTTGACTCACATCCAATTTCCATTGCTAAGAGTGAAATGACAACCTATCGATATGTAGTATATCTATCACTTTAAAGGTCCATCATTTAAATGCGTTATTTTAAAAGGTGACCGGGGTAATGAGAAGACGTTTCTTTATTGCAATTGTGTTGAGAAAATGTCTATTTTCAACGTCAGGACGGTACTTTTATAAGCCACCAATTTGAAAATAATTCTAACACATCCAAAGACGTCACTTAATGTATTCTCGTGTGTATCATGGAAAATACGAATTATTTCAAGCATAACATTTACATAACATTCTTGATTTGTTTATAAGAAGTGTAAGCGTTATTTGAAGTAGCACTTTTACAACTTCCAGCCATAAGCATTGTGTGTCCATTCAACCGTTGTATTTAATTGACAAAGGGAATTCCATCACTCTCCGTTCACGTCAGTGCTCTAAAAGCTTTTAGTGTAGGCACGTGCTGCATTAGGTATTCATCTATAAAAACTCCATAGGAAAGTGTTGGTAAACTCTCTCTCTCTCTTTGAATTTATTAGCTCATTCCATTTAACTGTCAAGTGTATATAGTCTCTGCACTATGCTACTTGAATAATTATCAGGTCATTGTTGCTTCATTTTAAAATTGGCAAATAATAAGCAATATTCAACTGTAGTGATATACCAGACACAAATGGCTTACAAGCAATGCTCCAAATCACAATGCAGTAAAAGCTCTTGAAGCTGCGATAATTTGGGGAGAGAAAATATCCTGCTGTGGGAGATGACCAGAAGTCTGAAATTAAGTCATTAATTCTTAAATAACTATACTTAATAACTCTTCAAACATTACTAGTTTAACCTGCGTCACAATCACCATGAAGTAGAAGTGAAATTGAAGTTCACTAAATATGAAAGGGACATTTTGTGATGGACATAAACAATGTATTGTAAAGTAAATGTTAAATCAATGTAATAAACCAGGAGAAACCACTCGCAGTGCATGTGGATTACTGAGGCATCCAAAGGCACAGGTTCACCGATTGTATCGTCATTTTTTTGTTTAATGAATAAAATAAATACGTCGCTGTGAACAGATTTGACTTTGGCCAAAAGTAGGGAGAGCTAATACATGAATGCATAACACTTCAGTTGGTGGTTGACGTTCAAAGTGGACTGCGACCCTCAAAGGAATGGCACAGTCCCCGTGATTCGTGGATCAAACAAATGTCTCGACGCCGGTGTATAACAGCAAGATCATTTTATGCCAACGCTGTTGCAAGAGGTCACACGTTTGGTGCAACGGTCCTTCGCTGGCTATGCTTGACGAATGAATAACAACCAGTGGATGCGCTATATGAATGCAAACTTTCTCCAAGCAATAACATGCATAGCTGGATGGTGTGTCATGGCGTCTGACCCAAATGTGCTAATGTGGTTCATGGCCCCCTTTCTCTGTGTGTCGCCACAGCAGCCATGGAGCAGGTGCTGAAGACGTTGCCGGACATGCCCCGCACTGCCAGCGCGAAGGAGACTGACCTCATTTTCCTGAAAGGCCTCATGGAGAGCCCCGTGGTGCAGTGTCTGGCCAAGGTTGGTGGAGTTTTATTACAGTACAAATATTCCCAAGCGCATTTACGACAATGAGAATTTGACAGCTGAATATTGAAATACATGCAGGATCACACTCAATTCTTATATCCACTTGGGAAAATGCCACCTTTCGAAATAAGTAAGAAGAAGACATTTTAATTTGGCAATTGGGTGGAGACGATGGTAACATCCGTAATTATTGTATTTACATGGGTATTTCAGGAAGCTTGAACATTGTTATAACAACAAGTTGATGATGACCTTAGTAAACGCAACACATCATTCATACACCTATATCTACCAGGAGGTTGGTTAAGAGCAGGCTAAGTTTTTAGATTTTCATTTATGTTGGCAGACTTTTGTCTACATTTTACAGCCATTATTCCCATTTTCAAGGGCATATTAATTGAGTATTAGCCATACCTCCCTGTCAACTAAGGAAATGGCAAGGTTTGTGCAATTCATACCTGGGGCCTTCAGCTTCAAGAAACTATGACAGAGTTGGTAGTCTTGTTAAACCGGTTAATCCTTCATAAATAATTGACGACTCTTGCCCTCAAATGCACTAACCCTTTGTATAATTCAGACTTTATGTAAGTCCTGAAAATTCGTAAAAATATCATATGTGCTTTCAAACTAAGGCCCTTTTTTGGGATTTAATTCAACATGGCACACTAACACAAAGCATATACCTGGAATGTTTAAGATGCGTAAATAATATTATCAATTAACCTCCTACTTCACATTGGCATTTATTTCATCATTGATTTTACATAGAGGTGTATTATTTCTAATACTCCACACCATAGACAACAAAAATATAATGGTATGTGTTGAAAGTCAACGAACATGAGCACCATAAAGTCACATGCAACAAGTTGGCTAAATTAAATAATTTTTGGAAGGACATAACTGGAAAGCACAGCAGAATGTGTATAATAAGGGCAATTAGCTAAGATGCATCAGGATCGAAATGATGACGTGAATAAGAGCATGATCGAGTGGTTTTGGGAAACTGAATTTGATCTCGAAAAGCAGTATTACTTTGTATCACAACCTATGACATGGATCAGAAATGTAACACAGTGACAAGGAATATGGGACAAAACTGGAATTACGCTGATCCAGAAAGAAGACGACACGAGTCTTTGAACAAATAAAAGTCGGGGAGATCATGTTAGTGGTAAAAAAAAAACAAGTGGGCTTGCGCAGGACACATAGAATGGATGATGGCCAGTGGTCAAGACTGACGACAGAATGGCAACCAAAACAGACAGTGTGAGTTTTATTTTTACTTCTTTCGGTACCAAACGTAGCCAACTGTGCTTATCAGAGGTGCGGGGTACGTAGGCAACCGTGATAATCGGAGGATGATCACTGCAGAAGTGGAGATCGGCTCGTGCAGCAGAGAGATTGTTTCTAATTGGTTATGGTGTGGGGAAGGTTCATCCAGCAGTGGATAGACAATGGCTGATTCTGGCAATGATGTTTAGAGTAGCTGCTCAGGCCTCCATTGTTTAGGTTGTAAGTGAATAGCCAGTGAAAAGGCCGATGTTATTCCCTTCTCAACATAGCTCACCTGCCACGGATACTATAAAACACTAATATAATCTCGCTGTAATGCCACTTAACTCTTTGCCCCATGCTTCAAATAGAATCTCACACGTGTGCACTCTGGAATGTCTTACTCCTCTAACTCCTCCTACTGGTGTTGCCTGCTGTCTCCGCCCACTCCACGCCATACACAGGCTCAGGGCAAGCTTGAGGAACCCAAGCTAGAAGCGGTGAGCGAGAACAACCTAGAGCTGGTCAAGGAGATCCTGGAGGACATCTCCCCGATGACGGAACGAGACAACAGCGCTGCTGAGCTCGCCACCATCCTCCAGGAGCCTCACTTTCAGGTTGGGCATTTCTTAACGGTGGCGTGATGTGATCTTCCTCGCCTGGTATGCAGGAGGTCTTGGGTTTGATCCCCGACCTTGACGCCTGTACATTTAGGGTTTTCATGTCTCTCCCTCCCCGTGGTTGCGTGGATTTCTGTTTTCTCTGAGTCCTCCGGTTTTTCCCTCCATATTTAGAAACATGCATTGAGATTATTTAGATTATTTTGGTGCTTTAAATGTGAAAATGATGGGGCCACTTTGTTGAGATATAATTTGTGGCAAGGTCACTTCTGGAAAAATAAGTCAATACCTCAATGGTCTTGTTTACCTTACCTATATTTTGCACTCATGTAGTGTTTTTGAATTGCTTGTGTTGTAATGTTCTAACCCACCCCTACTGGACATCTGTAAAAAATAGCTTTGTAGCTCATTGGATTCCTGCAGTATAAATACATATTCTGAATCTGATTGTGTCACAACCATTGTACCTCTTCTTTGGTTCTTTCGGTAAAGTCACGTAGAATGAGAATAAAATAATAAAATAAAACAATAAAATTCTCACCTGGAGAATTATTGTTTTTTATTGTTTTGTTTTATTATTTTATTCCCATTCTACGTGACTTTACCGAAAGAACCAAAGAAGATGAATCCTTGCAGTCACAAAAGCTTAAAATCGAAACCATTGTACCTCTTAGCTAACTGAGCACTCGCTTAATACCCAAATGTGCAGCATTTCATCTCCTGATAATTTTTCAATTAATCGTGATTCAGTGCAGCATCTTTCCTATGGCAACATAATTGAGTACCTCTTAAAAGGTCATTGTCTTGTAGCAACCCTATCGTTGCTGCAATTTCTTATCCATCATGGAAGCCATATGTGTAAGTGTTGTTCATTATGCGCACGCTCTTTAATGGGTCGGTAAAATCAGGTAAAAAAAAAAACTTGTGGTGCCCCTAACAGCCGTGTCCTCTTGGCGAATGCTATGATTACCCACCCCTAAGGCCGCGTCTCTATGACGGTGCATTGACGGGGGAGACAGCAATCGCAGCAGGTATAATAAATGAGGTAATTAATCCATAAATATGCAAACGCCTGCTTTGCCCCCCTTGCACGACAATGCCAGTCGCTTCTGGGAGCCCATGACTCGGTGGCCTCCAAAAGCTACGAGTGCCTCCCGTGCAGCCCGCACCTCAATGCGGACAGCGGCGATGAGCTCGGCGCACTCGAGTCGGGAGTGACAGACGCCATCCGCATGGTCGGGATTCGCAAGATGGAGGGAGAGCCCCTGGTAGGTGCGGCATACTCACCTGCGTGAGTCGTCGAGCTGCTGCAATGTCATTTCTTTGGAACTGCTTTTTGTGTTTAATTTCGGTGCCCTTCCCCACCCCCCCCCCCCCCGTACCTCCGATTTGCACGGTTCGCTAAGTACAGCGCGAAAGAAGTTCAATGCACATATCTTTTGTTGTAACAAAAAATCGGTCATCTCTTGTATCTGGGGCAAGCTTTTTTTTTTTTTCTTAGCTAGGAAGCAACATAAAAGGGGTTGGCATCTCTGCTCAAAAGAGCATTGGGTAGTGCTGTTCTGTTTTGGTGGACCTAAATCAATGGTTGAAATTCCACATTCCTCTAAAAGGGGCCAGTGTTTGCATTTCATGTAATAACAAAACAATTAAATATTTTGCAATGATGGGCTTTTTTAAATATTTCATGTTGTCTTTGTCATAACACATTGTGCTGGTGTTCCTCTCCAATGGACTCCCGAAGGCAGCTTTCACCCATGGTGGAGACATTCTTACAAGAATACAACCACTTTTTCACAAAGTAGTACTCTTTGTATTGTCCGTGGGGGGACGATTGGCCGAGACAACCCTCAAACTAAATTAAAATGTTGCGCCTTCTGATTTTGCATTGAACAAATCACCCTGGCCTGGGTAGGTTTTTCACTTTGAGACCTCTCCAAAATAAGGCAGCAGAATTTTTTTTTTATTTTTAGATTTAATGAAACAGTGCACATGGTGTCTGCGCGTGCACGCCGCCCTCCAGGGCGTAACGTTCCGCGTGGAGAGCAACGAGTTGGTGATCGCGCGCATCCTGCGGGGCGGCATGATCGACCAGCAGGGCCTCCTGCACGTGGGCGACGTCATCCGCGAGGTCAACGGCTGCGACGTCAGCAATGACCCCGTAGGGCTGCAGCGCTACCTGCGCGAGGCCACGGGCAGCGTCGTGCTCAAGATCCTGCCCAGCTATACGCTGCCGCAGAACCCCGCACCGGTACGCACCGGGTAGATCCACGGGCCGCATGCATAGCAGGCACTGGAATCAGCTGAATCTGATGAGTTTATAAAGCTCTTTTTCACAGGGTCGGGTTTGGAAAGTTACAACAACAAACTATACAAACACGCGATAGAAGTGCAAAGTATAGGAAAGGTAAACAAACACCAAAAAAAAATCGGATCAAAGCTGATGGGCATGTGCTCTCTTTATCGATCGCTATCCATTGCATCACGGGAGATGGTGAAAACAAACCCAGGTGTAACAACGTGCCTGTTTATGGGTTAAAACTGATCCTCGGTGCTCGCAATGTATGCTTAGAATCATGCGAGTAGGAAATGTAATTGGTGATTCGCATACCCTGTACGTATTGGATTCACGTGACCCCGCTGCTGCCAGTCAAGGTCCCTATAGTCACCACAATGGAAACATATGATATGAGAATCAACGCTGAATCATGACAGATAATTATAAAATCTCACAGCGGGTAAATTGTTACAGCCCTAATAATTATGTGATTGAGTTTTCTAGCAAGGAGCCACTGAGTCTCACGTCTTTATCAAGAGTTTCATATTGGGATGTGTGGTCATTTTGCCAATTGTTTGTTCGTTAGTGTTTTGAATTTGGTAAAAAAAAGTCCACAGAGAAAAACCACACAAGGATAACACCAACAGAACCATATAGAGGAGTTAATAAACCTACTTTCTGTACTGCCATCACCTAGCCATCTTACAGCAGAGCAAGTTTCGGGGTTTCAAACTGCTTTGAGTTCTCAGTTTAGCACGTAGGCTTTCACGACCAATATTATTCATAATAAAGGTTTTTGGGTTAGATCGCGTTATTTATAAATGTGTCGTAACCCTCCACCACCCGACACGGCCAATCAGCAAGAAAAAAAGTGTCACGTTGACAAAAGACAATTAGTTAACTACTTTAGCCCACCGGTGTGTTGAAGAGTGAATCCACAACATTTACAGTTTGAATACGACGTTTCGCTGGTAATTACATCCAGCATCATCGGGCAATTCGCCAGAATGGTAAAGCCCTCACTTGCTCTCGGTCTTAAATAGAGCAGCAGGGTTACGTCATCATTTAACTCATTTCAGGTGCAGTAATTATATAATCGATTGGTAATCAGTCAATGGTTATGATTAGTAATGAGTTGTAGATTAGTAATTAGTTGTAATGTGTGTTATTGTGATTATATGCTACATTAGTAATCCGTTAATTAGTATGTGTTTCCCCTATAAGGAATTGTAATATGTATTATTTAATAATACACTTCCAAGCCGCACTAAGCCTATAGCTATCAGAACGATTAAAGTTATTTCTGTTTCTCTCAATTTCAATGGATTCTCTAATTAGTCTTTGCCAGTAATAATTAGTTTTACACAACACTTCAACGTTATCAAAATCAATTGCGTGTCCTTGTTGACAAGCATGTTCTGCCACTGCCGACAGTTGTGTTTGAGATAATTTAATATTTCTTTGGTGTTCTTTTAATATTATGCTGATGTTACGTCCCGTCTGTCCACTATAGCATATGCCACATAAACAATTAATCCGATATACACCTTCTGTTGATAATTTAGGTAATTCGTCTTGAGTGCAAGATACTAGTTTTTGAATTTTGTGTACTCTACCAAATCTTACTGTAATGTTTTCCTTTTGCAAAACACGGGCTAATTTGTCAGTTACTCCTGAGATATATGGAATTTTAATAGTTTTAAGAATCTGATTGCTTTCAGCAGTGTTGCTTTGCGATCGTGATTTGGCATTCAGTGCTCTGTTAATTTGAGTATTATTGTAGCCATTCTGTCGTAATGCTTCTTTAACGTGTTTGATCTCTCTCACTAGACTTTCACCATCTGACACTGTTTTAGCCCGATGTATGAGCGTCTTGATAAGAGAGGATTTCTGAGTTGGATGATGATGCGAATCTGCTATCAGATAGGCATCAGTGTGCGTTTGCTTTCTGTAAACGCTGTGTGTTATTTTACCGTTTAGGCCATGTCCAAGCAAAATATCTAGGAACGGGAGTGTGTTATTCACCTCCATTTCCGGTGAACTGGATGGCCGGGTTTTGTGTATTGAGATGATTTAGAAAATCATTAAGTGTATCTTTACCATGTGGCCAGACAACCAAAGTGTCATCCACATATCTAAACCAAAAAGATGGTTTTAATGTGCTCGAGGCAAGTGCTCTTATTTCAAAGTTTTCCACGTACAGATTTGCTATAGCAGGAGATAAAGGAGAGCCCATTGCTGCTCCTTCCTTTTGTTTAAAGAAATCCCCTCTCCATAAGAAGTAAGTGTTATTTAAACAATGGTCAACAAGTTTCAGAATATATTTTGGTAAACCTGTATTCTTTACTAGTGTATCAAGTAATTTAAGCGATTCGTTCAATGGAGCCTTAGTGAATAGAGAAATCACATCAAAACTTACCAGAATATCATTAGGATTAAGTTTAATATCTTTGATCACATTCACAAGATGTTCTGAATTTCTTATGAATGATGATGTCCTACCGATGTAGGGCTGTATTTGTTTAGTTATATATTTTGCTAATTTATAAGTGGCAGAGCCAATTGTACTGACTATGGGTCATAATGGGATGCCGATTTTATGAATCTTTGGTAGCCCATACAGTCTAGGTGGTTTTGAGGCCCTTGGCTTAATTTGGTGTTGCTCATTCTTAGGGATTAATGAATTTGCAATTATTGCAGTCGTCTTACGTTCTAAAGTATTATTTGGATCTTGTTTAATTTTAACGTAGGTACTTTCCTGTATTAAATTTCTAATTTTATTATAATCGGCTCGTGACATCACTACAGTAGTGCGGCCTTTGAGTTCTTTCAACTTAACTCAGGATTAAAGGGGTGCACCACTCCACCCAGCTGTAATGAGTCTAAATCTGGCATTGACCTCTTCTTGGTCAGATCAGCATATACACATACTGTATAGTGCCAGTACGAAAGCTGGATACAGAGAAAGGCATTAGGCTGCCTATATCAGCCCTTTTATATGCTGTGCCAGCTTTTATAGCTTCCTGCTTTAAGCAGGTATATCTGTTTTTTTACATACTATATGTGCACTTAGCTGTTTCAAGTGGACATTTTTGCATCTAGATTGATTTATTTGTAAATCCAGGAGACCTAGTTATTCACTTGATATGCTTTCATCACACCATAATATATATTTATAAGTAGCAACTACTTAGTATTTGTACAATGGCTGTAGAAATAATAATACAATGTTGGGTTTAACACAAGAGTTGCTGACATGTGTCGAACAGCACTTGTTTGATTGCATCTATCTATTAATAATTCAGCATCTAAATGTGGTTCAGGGTCATAGTCAGTGATTTGTGTAAGGATGTCTGCCAACTTGGCCGTAACACTAAAATTACCATGAAGCAAATTATTTTCCGAAAGCATTTGGAAAATGTTCATGGGGGAAAAATATTTTAGGCATATAAATCTGCTGCAATCAAGTTGGCAATATCAAAATACATTTTCAATATTTTTAACGACTGGAAAGACCGCTCAGCACGTATCTCGTAATTGTGAATGTCCACAGATTTATGAGAAATGCAGCGTCTATTTAGCCTTGGTTGCTCCAATTTTTTCTGAAAAATTTTATTTTAACTCCAGCCTTGCTTTTGATAATAATTAATGCTTTTCTCTTTGAGAATATCACGTGTAGCATAGTACCTGCATACTACACATTGGGCGATACTTCCGGATGTGGTTAACCATGTCCTAGAAGGAGAGGTGAAACCTTGGTAAATGCATCCCATAACACATGCATGTGCTGAACAAATGCTTACATGTGTAGTGGCATCGGTGGATGCCACTGCATGCCACGTAAGGCCGGCCTGTGTGTGGAGCAGGAGACACGCTGCTCACACCACCTACAGCACGGCAGTTGTGCGACATCGCACTCCGTGTGCAGTGTCAGCCCCTGGAGGCTAGGGGGCGAGAGCGCCTGGAGCGGCGCAGGGGTTACAGGGGGCCATGCCACTCCGGATGACACCTTAGGGCTGGTGGCCGGAGGTACCGGGGGTGAGGCCCCCAAAGAGGGGGGCTGGGCGACCCCGGGACCGGGACCGGTTCAAGGAGCCTCTGGAAGGGCCGAGAAGGGGGGCGTGCCTAGGGGCGGAGGAAGCCCCAGGACTGGGAATATAAGCTGGACCCCTGAACGGGTCCGGCTACTGTCGTTCATCTGAAAATATGAAGACGTCCTCCTGAAGATGAAGTCCCGAAGTCAAGACCAGGACTCGAGTCGGGGTCCGGGCTTGACGGCCTCCCCCAGTTGTGTTGGGGCTCGTTAGCCCGCAGGGACAACCTCCCCAGGTTACCTGGTGGAAGGGGCAGCTCTACCCCTTTGTGTTAGCGAGTGTTGTTAAAATAAACGTGTTGCCTCCAGAGAAGCCTTCTCTCCATTTGTACCCACTACACATGGCATTCTTTTAGGCATCACCTCGTAAACATGCAGTCGTTGATTTGGAGAAAATTGCAGCCGTATAACTTAACAATTAGTTTTATTATTATTATTATTAACCTAGAATGCCACATGTTTTAACGATAAATAACAGCATTCTAAAATACATCCAAGAGTCAAAGATCACATTAATCTCCGTATACCAGTGACAAATCACTTTATTTTGTTTTGTGTCATCCATCTCAACCAAAGCCACTTGTATAGTTTCCTAACACAATGCAATAATGATATTTAATTACAGTAGCAATCACATTTTCCTGGCCATATTTTATGACAGCATATGCATATGAATTGGCTGCAAATATGAATGTGAGGAGAATATCATTGGTATTACTCAGAGCTTTTAGCACACATTGGCAGTATATAAATACAATTGTTATTCCTACACTGTACAGTGGTGGGAGTGAAGATGGAAAGGAAATGCTGGAATTGGTGGTTACCACCGCACAACACAGTTTGCAAGCTTTTGAGAAGCCACATGAAATATTTATGCTTTAATGTTTCTACTGCAGCGACCTTATGCAATAAGCGTCATCATGCAAGGTCAATCCACTGCTGGACGAAGGCCTCCCCACGTCGCCGCCATCTCTTGTGATATAATAAATCCAGCAAAACATTTCAGGTTTATTGAAAATAATTATACGGTTTCAAGCGGACACTCTATCTTAAGACCTATTTTGTAAACGTCAGTAATTATTCTTCTTAAATCGTGCTCTTTGTAGCATTTACAACTGAAATTGCAAGCATCCGTCGACCTGTCTCGAATGAGAGGGTCACAATAACGTTCAATAAGATTTTCCAGCGTGCGCAAAACTGCTGTACAAAGTTCGGTCGCAGTAAGGGGCTCGCCCGACAAGCAAACGGCCATCTTGATCAAAGGTTTCTTGAAACCTCCCCGGCAGAGTCGCTGTCCGAGCACCGGTGGGTCTCCGCGGCCTACGGATGCACTGCTTCGTATATATTGCCATTCAAAAAGAGCTCTTCAGCTCTACATGACTAAGAGCTACAGTGTTTAGGTAAAGCTCATGCTTTAGGCTCTGTCAGTTTGAACTCGTGACAAAACTTGCAAGGTTGGCTACGTATGGTGCGACAGCATTGGCACAGGAATCTGGCTGCGAAGCTCGCACAATATGAACGCCGTGTCTCCTTCATGCCGTGACTGTTACCGTCTGTGTGTGCTTGGGTGTGCCAGCAGCTCTTTGTGAAGTGCCAGTTTGACTACAACCCTGCGGATGATCAGCTGATACCATGCAAGGAGGCGGGCCTCAAGTTCAGCCAGGGGGACGTGTTGCAGATCGTGAGCCAGGATGACCCCGACTGGTGGCAGGTACTCTTAGCGATCCATAGGAACGTATACAATTACGTTGCTACGTTTTACATTGTCATCACCGTTGCGTGCGCGCGTGATGAAGACTCGTGGAATGCTTCTGTCCTTTTAAACAATTGTGTTTCTGTGCAAAACATTCAACGCTAAGATATCATGCTCAGGTCATTGAATAAATAAAATGTATTTGAACATGAATTAAATTAATCGTTATCATGTAATGCTCTATTTACTTCTGGATGTCGCAATTGCTTACAGTCCCATAATGCCAAAAACACACTCCTGCGCATGAGCTAATGTCATTACTGTTCCTCAGTGGTCATCCTCTTGGGTGTGTTTTTTTCTTCTCATTTGCCTGCCATACCATCACCAGTCAACCATGGGCCATCATCTTTTACCAAGTGGCCTATCTATGTCCACATACTTAGCAGTCACTATTGATGCCTTTCCTATTTCATGATGTAGCTGTTCACCCCGGGCTCTCATTACTCTGATAGTGCATTGTCTTTGGGCTGTACACCTTTTGGCGTCCTCTGGTCTGACACCGTTTGAGACTAGGCTCAAAAGCAAGCTGTCTCTGGTGTGGACCAATCAGTTTCAAAGACAATGCATCATATTATCAGAGTGTGTTTTTTGTTTGCATTCTGACCACAAGTAGTGCGGTTAATGCAGACATGATTCCTTGTAAAAGGTTTCAGTTTGGTGATTTAACATTTGAACACAGCTGTTTTGTTGCCAGAAAAAAGGGGAAAACCTATTCTCGCCTTTCCTATTATTACGCATTTTGGTTCTTCCATTATGTCATCTTATATTTGTAAATGTGCCATGTCAGGACATTACCGCATGAATGATGCGTATTCTGTGTTTAAATGAGGCATGTTTTTGCTCATATCAGTTCCCAAATTTTACAAACGTGAAAGAAGAAAAAAGTTAAAGTGGGGAAAATGCTATGGAATAAAACTGTCTCCACATTTTTGCAGCTGATATTATCTTACACTAGCGTGAGCATGCAATAAAAAAAAATAACAACCTATTTGATACTTTGGAACTCATTCTAAGTAATACAAATGATGCCTGCACAGGATGTGCAGGTTTTGACAGGAGGTGAACACATGGATGCTAATTAGAATGTGTGGAGCAGCCAGGCAGTAGCAGAGTGAGTAATGGGCACCATAAAGCATTTAGAAGGTCCATGCAGCCTGAAAGACAATTTCACAGTCTCATTTGTACACACAAATCGGAAAAATACAATGTTCATGCATGCATTCAGTTGAATAATAGTCATACAAGTGAATGTTGCTAAAACTCAAATATGTATGACATTTGAATGTCAGAATGCGAGTGAGTGTGTGTCGTTGGTTGCGGCCTGTGCCACAAGCACAGCTCATTTCTCAGCCCGGTATGATTGGTGGCATGTGGCATCTAAACCTGATCTGGATCTAAAATAGTGGGACAACTGGCTAAATGGGGTCATCCGTGTAACAAATCAAATAAACTCAACCCGCGTAACAAATCAAATAAGCTCAAACTCCCTTTGGTTGGCTTATCCAAAAGAGAGTATCTCAGTTGTTGTGTTAACATGGGCATTGAGTCTGAAAAAGGAATCAGTTTGAGATGGTGGCCTTAATAGCTGACGTCGCTTGGTCCATCAGCCTGTAAGGCATTCTGATCTTTGTTTGTGTGCGTGTCCATTTTATTATTGTCACAGAGGTACATTTTACACGGAGGAATCACTATGATTAAAGCTCGCATCATTTGGAGAAATGTTAATTGGAGACAAATCCGAATAAAAAGAGCATGGCACCAGGCGTTGTGTGCAGTCATAGCAGCGTTGACAGAAAACGTGAGTCATGCACACAGTGTGTGCTGCTCCTGCAGTGTTGAGCATGGGGCACCCTGCTCAGTTGCGGGGGGGGGGGTCAGGCATGATGCCTCCCCCCCCAAAACTCGTTGTCTGACATTAATAACGAGCTTGAAAGTCTTTGGGCAGCTTGGAAATTAGGAAAATTATTCTAAAACAAAATAACTTGCGTTGAATTGACGGCATCGTGCTTTTCACTTCAGAGGACAGTTTGATTTTGTTTTTAAGTGACCGTGCACCTTGGCACATTGTTGTGGGTTTTATGTTACAAGACAGAAGACTATGTCATTGTTGACACTGTTCATGAAAATAAACGTAAATGTATTTCATGAAAGCATTCTCACTTAGATCATATTTGTACTGTACAGCATGTGAAAATAACTGTCCTTTTCATAATATGCTTGCTTGATTATGTTATGTTTATTTATATTATTATGTTATTTGATTATTTGCTTATATAGTACAGAAACTACGCTCTTCTGTATATACATAGATACATATGTAATGTTAACGTTGTTGCGTTACAGGCATGTTGCTACAAAACTGAAATTATACCGCACTGCAATATCAACATGTAACACTTCTTTTGCAAAGTTTTCAATAGAAACATGAAGTCAAAGTGTGTTATTGCACCCACTGTTTTCTGATTGCATTTAGAACATATTTTCCCCTCACATAATGATATAAACTCTATGATTATTTTGCCAATGCAGCTGGAAACTTTCTGTGCCAGGTAATACACATTGATGTTATAAAATAATCACACAGCGGCATAAATCACAGGCTGCATCGTGATGTTTGTGAGCATAACAACATCTTATGACTTCTGGCTGCCCCCTTGATTGAGCAGAAGTAATTGCATTTCCCAGACGTGAAATGTGAACGCTGCTAAAATGACTAACGTGGAGTACATCATGGTTCTGAGAACAAATACATGCCGAAGATTATCGCTTGGATTTGTGATTGCAGGCTTAGCAGCTTAAATACACACTGTTATCGCATCAGCATGCTCGTGGTTTGTAATGAAAGTAACATCCCTCTGGTTTGGTACGGGCATCTTATAGCCAAAAGATTACTCAATGGCACACTGCACTCATATGCTCATCTGCATTGCATTTCCATGAAGTAGAGACACGGTTATGGCTCAATTATGAATGATTATAATATATACGATTACGTGTTAACTTACAAGGCCAGCATATGACCAGGAACACCTATTGGCATTATGGTTATGTGTGCAAACTCCGTCTGCATTTAAACATGCAGTCAAACCTCTTGAAGCCCAGACTAATTGCATGGAGAGCCTTTCTCAATGCAGGAGATATCCCACAGTGTTGAGAAAATACTACATTGTTTATTTCATTTTAATGTAACACCTAAGACATTTAATTAACACTATATAAAATTTTTTTTACGTTTTTAAAGCTAACTCAATTAACTTCTATACAGTTTAACCGAGCCACTTGCCATCACTGTGTAGCAAGATGATGAAGGCTCAGGTTCACTGGATGGAGAAGGTGGGGAATAGATTTTCTGGTAGGCTTGTAGACATTATTTTTCTTATTTGGAAAATAAGCATGTGATAATTGCGAAAGGAGAAAAAAAATGGAAACAACACTAACAGGGCATATGGCGACCGAGCGAATTAATTTTAGAATTCCATACAGCTGCACTGTACATGTGTTTAGCTGTACAATTGCTACTCCTCCATACAGCTTAATGGGCATGCAAACTATTTTCTGGTTAGAATGTATTTACTTTAGAAAACCATCTGGCTTTTCATGAATTCCTACTTGAGTCGGGATTCAAGAGATTTTAATGCAGTGTTGTATGCATGTCTTGGAATATTAAATTGCAGTGGATTGTGTTATTGTGTATGCTGCAATTTATGAATAGAGTCAATATATGTGCTAAGGACATTTTCAGTTACTTTGGTGAATAATTTACATTTCATATATTAAAATAATGTAGCAAAAATTATAATCAACTTAAAATAAACGACACCATCCTATCAATATTAACATAGACATTTGTTTTAGATTCAAGTCTCATTTTATGATTTAAAAATATGGTATATAGTATACCAGAGCAATATTGTCATGCATTGAAACTCACTCTTGGATTGCAACTCTAATTTCCTACACATGTTCGCAGGCATTCAGCATGCCTGCGAACATGTGTAGGACGAGAAAAGTTTAGAACTCTCCAATGTCTTAAATTTTGATTTAAAGCTTTCGTGACTGCAGTAATTCATATTCTTAGTTCTTTCGGTAAAGTCACGTTGCTTTATATATATTTTATTATTTTGTTGTTTCCCTTCTCCAATGTCTTGTCCACATTAATATTCAATGGGAGTTTAGCTTCCAAGGAAGGTGCGGTAGTGGCTAAGGGATGTGTATGCCGGTATTGTCAGATGTGGTTCGTCTCTGGAGACTACAAAACAAAGAGATATTCAGTTTTAACACGTGGGGGAGGCTCACTCGGAACCAGTGTTTGTTCTTTAATGCGATGTCCAGCAGGATTTAAGGCTTGTTATGCTGCCCTTGGAGGCCCCTAGGAGGCACTTTCTTTATAACAACTTTCATGGTCTCGTCCGCAGACTCTCCACAGTAGCTTAGTCTAGCCTGTACGCAACACGAGCCATCTAACACTGACGGCGCTGACTGAGATGGCAAACTACTATCCTTCGTAGCGCAATATCTCGCGGAGACGTTTAGCGATGACGGCGACGAGACGACAGCAACAACGAGACGAGTCCACTCCCAGAACCGGCAGCCTCGAGCTCCCACTCTCGGCTCCTTTTATGCTCCCAGCACGGCCTGGCTCCGCCCTGACCGTGCCTCCCTTCTTGAACCCGCTAGCAGGTTCCAGGGGCCTCGAGACGGGGTCCTCCTTGACCCTTAACCCTAGTTCCTCCCCTCTGCCAACACACCGTGCACACCCTCACTGGCACCGCTGTCCACTAGCTGGCACTATTACACTACACAAGCGTTGTTTAACTACAAAATTGTAAATAATATATTAATTTGTGATAATTTATTCTATTGAAACTTAACGTATTGGATTGTAGTTGGGTTGACTATTTTAGTTTTGCCAACTACACATAAAAAACACGGTTAGTTTGATGCTAGACAAATGTTATTATGCAAACTCTTTGATGGTGTATGAAACCCATTATCTACCCAAGTGCATGATTCTCGGAGCATTGGTTAAAACGCGTATCATTTGCTTTTACTATTTATGTATCACCTCCAGCAGATCGTCATTTGCCCTGCATAGCCTTTGGTAATGAATTTAGACACTATCATTTAAATATTTGGTAACGATTCACATTATTTTTAGACCTCAGGCACCCACCATCAGAAGTTTTTACATGCATTGTGGATAATTGGAAAATTCTTGGGATTTTTGTTTGGCTAATGATGTCTCCTAAAAGTATATTCTAGAAAGAAAAATGTTGGTATCTTATTACAATAGTACTCAAGGCAAAGTATGGAAAGTGATTTTGAGAATAAGCACAAGGAAGAATTCCCCATTGTGTAGCTCTCAGTATGTTTGCCTAATTGAATATGAATACAGTAATGGTAAAATGGGATTTAACTCGGTCGTCACTGGGCATGCAGAGCAGTGTTCTGATTTATAATTCTTCACTTAGACTTTTGTCACACGTGGAAACACAGTAAGTGTGACAATGGGGTTGAGAACCACGTAACAATGTTTGTTTATTCTAAGAAAAAAACTGGACTTCTAGTTATTATTTGCCTAGGTATATTTAATTCTCGCAACGCCCAATGCTGCCAATACATTTTTATTTGATTTTAGACAGATGTCTGTTGAGTGTTTCCTGCTTATGGATTCAGAAAACTTCTGACTAATCAATTGACAATTTCTTCCTTCTTCTTCGGAGACGAGGTAGTTGCAGGAGGCACCGTCCCTGTTTTATTAAGTTCACGCCACCAACTCTGGCCTCCTCTCTCATGACCACGCTGCCGTACGGCTCGGCCCAGACACGACCCTGTCCGCGTTGCACCAACGGCGTCGACCGAGACAGCCAACTCCTGTCTGGCCACGCAATGATCAGGCGAAGGCGGCAGTAATGAGGGCGGTGACAACGACAGCTACGACGAGACGAGTCCAATCCCAGAACCGGCCGCACGGATCTCTCGCTCTCCGCTGCTTATATTCCCCTCGGCATGGCTTGGGTCCGCTCTAGCCGCGCCTCCCTTCTCGAACCCACCAGAGAGGGTTCCAGGGGCCTCCCTGTGAGGTCTACCGTGACCCTTGCCCAAGTTCCTCCGCCCTGCCGGCACACCAGTGGAAATGATCCCTATGGCGGTACCCCAGGGTACCAAATAATACAAAATGGCTGAGGCAATTAAATATTTTATTTCTAGGACACTATTTTTTCCAGGGGTGTACTTAACTCCACGACTGGGGTACCAATCAATCCGAAATCAGTGGTACTCCGTGATGTCGAGACACAGCGAGGACGATTGCGCTGAAACCCTGAACGCTCGTATGCACCGTAGTGCATCGTGTACAGCTCGTCCAGATGAGTCGATTGTCGCATCGCCGACCATCGACAGACTGAAAATGACTGCATCACGGACATTATGCGAGTACTGCCATAAGGTTCATACGCTCAACAACTTGTGCGCTAAGTGTCCACTGCAGTTGCTGCTGCTGTACAGCAGTCGACGCTGTGTCACCACGCTTGTAAGAATATTTGATCTCTAGGCCCCTGACACGCAGATTGTTTTACACGTGTAATGAGCGACTTCCGCGACACTTTGTATAGAGGGTACTTCTTTTATTTCTCACCACACAGGCCAACCTTATTCTTCTCACTCTGAGTACAACACTTAGATATGAACGTCTCTACTGGCTACACACAGCCGATCACTCGGCGTGGTCCCACCGCCTTCACTCGGCTACGCCACTGGCTGGCGGCGTGACGATGACGGCGATGGAAACCCCGCAGGAGATCTTCCACGTCGCCGGACGACGGAGAGAGATGTCGGCGAGCAGCGACGCATCCAGGACACGAACCCCGACCCCCGGGTCCGGCTCCCCCTTATATCCCCCCAGGTGTGGCTAGGCCCCGCCTCCGGCCACGCCCTCTCGTGGAACCTTCCAGCAGGTTCCCAGAGTATCTTGGTTAACCCCACCTGTTACCTTTGCCCCAGATACCTCTCCTTCTCTGATTGGTTGTTACTTTAACTGAGCCCGTACCCGTGCTTCCCTTTCCCGGCCAGCAGGTGTCAGCATGTCATTACACATGTAAACGTCAGGATAAAGCCGTTCTTTTTATTAGCCCACTTCTAGGATTTTCAAGTGTTATTCCCTGTCCCTTTGTTTTTTTTTATTCTGAGTGTAATGGTTAGTTCATGTTGTAACTAATAGTTTAAAAGATATATTTTGCACAATGTGTGTGCGCTCTTGTAGCCAGGTCAAACTTGGTCAAATAAATGTATTCCTCTATTTGTAGCCATATGTCCCATAGGGGATGAAGAGGAGTAAGTAAGTACTCTATTTGTTTTTACCTCAATGAAAATTCAGTTTTTATAGTAACTCAGCAAAGGACTGTCGCATGCTTCTCGACTCAATTGGGAGCCTTAAGTCTGTGGTAGAATTGCCACATTTCCTTAGTAGGGGGCATTCTCTCCATAAGACAACCACTGATGACTTCTGACAGGACCACCTGGGCTGGATAAATCTCCACGAGACCATTTTCATGTAATCATTGATTGTAACAGCACCGTTGGTCAAGCCCGTGTCGGTTATGGGGGGGGGGGGAGGGTTATTTGAGCATACTTCACCATACTGTTTCATGCAGATTGGTGAGTAGGGGTGGATGGGGGGGAAGATTTAAGAAATCATTCACCACTGACGTTAGCCATGGTCATGAATCAAACTTTGGTCACCATGTTTAGAACACATTACTCTATGCCACTGTTTACCTATTCGTATATTAGATATTGTTACCATTTCCTCTGTGGGGGTGATAGGATTCATGTGCTTGGCTCACAATGGGATTTTGCTCTATAGCAAATATTGTGGCAATTCAAGCGGTCATCCCATGATAGAGACTTCTCCCTACCGTCGGAATATGGAATTCCATCTGTGGCTCGGGGCTGCCGAAGGAATTGAGTGCTGCTCTATTATCCGTGTGAGCACGGAGATTACACTTTTGACATTTTGTCCAAGGCTTACCGTGCACGCCGTACATTATTTCCTTCAGCTTGTCTGCTATGGACGCCGCTAACGTCGCTCCTCTGATTGGCACTGTTGGATACATACGGTGTGAAAGAAGTTTCAGCATGCATACATACAGCATTCATTCCACAACCGTGTGCACGTGCTGCTCAGGCATGCAAGGCACAAGACGGGGGCAGTGCAGGCCTGGTGCCCAGCCAGACGCTGGAGGAAAAGCGGAAGGCGTACGTGCGGCAGGAGATGAACTTCACGAGCGCCTCCGGTGAGTGTGCGGCGTCTCGCCTCCCGGAGGGGCCTAACCAAGGTGTGCACACTTTACACTTTACCTCTCATCGAGCCACACCGCACTTCGCCATGATGGCAGCTAGCTGAGCGCTAGACCAGACGTTGACACCACCCTGAGATGGCATGAAATTTGAGTTAAAGCACTAACCTTTCGATAAATGTTGGTTTAAATTTTGATTTAAAGCTTTCGTGACTGCAGTAATTCATATTCTTAGCTCTTTCGGTAAAGTCACGTTGAAGGGAAACAATAAAATAATGAAATCTATATATATATAAAACAATAAAATAAAAAACAATAGATATCCAAAATATATATTTTATGATTTTATTGTTTCCCTTCAACGTGACTTTACCGAAAGAGCTAAGAATATGAAATGTTGATTTATTTCAGATTGTTCAACAACTTGGTTTTGTAACCTAAGATTAATCCAGAATTTATTTGATTCCATTTGTTTACCCAGGAAAGCCTCGCTGAGTCTCAATACTCTTTTTTCAGGAGGGTGCTGCTGTTTTTTCATTGCCTGGGGTGATGATTGATGTATATATTCCAGTTCAGAATCAGAATCTTATTTTTACTGAAGGAGTCCGATGAGCTATAATCTCTTTTTCACAGATATCCAGTCGGGGTGGGTCAGAACGTTATGACAACATATACAAAAACATGATAAGAGTGCAAACTATAGGAAAGATATTCAAATCACAAAAATGTACTTTTTTCATTTTACCAGGTAAAGCCCACTGAGCTATTAGATTCTTTTTCAGAAGTGACCTGGCCACAAATGATAGCTCAACAAAGTGGCTTATGTGGACATTAAAGCAGCCAAACAATCTATGTAATCTAAACACTTGTTTCTAAATGTGGAGGGAAAAACGAGAGGACCCGGATAAAATATGCACATGCAAACTACAAATCTACAGGCATCAGACTAATATGATAAATTTGAGCCATAATTCATAATCATGGTTTTTGGGTTAGATCGCGTTATTTATAAATGTGTCGTAACCCTCCACCACCCGACACGGCCAATCAGCAAAAATGTGTCACGTTGACAAAAGACAAATAGTTCACTACTTTAGCCCACCGGTGTGTTGAAGAGTGACCTGTTTGTCTTTGTCAACGTGACACTTTTTTGCTGATTGGCCGTGTCGGGTGGTGGAGGGTTACGACACATTTATAAATAACGCGATCTAACCCAAAAACCTTTATTTTGAATAATATTGGTCGCTAAAGCCTACGTGTTGAGCCGTAATGTTGCCAACAAGTGAAATAGCTGCTCCGGGCCTGTGAAGTAAAGAGGCATTGTGACCAGAACAGAAGCAGGAGTGAATGACTGCACGAATAATTAGAAGATGTGCGCTTTGCAAACACTCTGTAGCTCATATGAGGGGTCTCTAAGCATGACCACTCGATCCCACAGACTAATGCTGCACAGACTAATGTGTACATTTTCTAGGTAGATTGCTGAGCATGGTGAGTGGGGATACTGTGAGAACAGTGTTAAAATGTTTCCATACTTCAAAGTAAACCCAAATCACTTAAGCTGATAATAGTTTAAAATTGTATTGTTAATTGAAAATTCGACTTTTTACAACAGGTAGTGAAATGCAAGTAGGGAAATGCTTCATTATTTCATGAATTCATAATTGGTTAAACGTAACATAAATTCACATTATTAATATCGAACTAGTTAAATTAACTTTGACATTACATTTAAACTCCCACTCATCTCTGCACTTGTGCAAAGGATAACGTGTGCGCATCGTGTACATTAAATTTGACTTCTTCTGACAGAAAAGTGAAAATATAACAAGTGTGTCGCTTTATGTTTTTTTTTTAAATCAACATGCTTTTATACGAAGACCTTTTATCAGATGTGTTTAATGGTGAATGCATGCAATGCACATTGCTAGTAGGGATGTGTGATGTACGTTCAGATCAAAGTTCTTATTTTGTTCACCCTGAACCATTTTCCCACTCACATTCGACACATAATTGTAATAATTAAAATAATGATACCATTTTACTGTGAACTATCACAGATATACAGTGAGTGCTTTTGTACGTTTGCCCACTGACAAAGAAATGATCAGTCTATAATTTAATGGTAGGTTTATTTGAACAGTGAGAGACAGAATAACAACAAAATCCAGAAAAACGCATGTCAAAAATGTTATAAATTGATTTGCATTTTAATGAGGGAAATAAGTATTTGACCCCTCTGCAAAACATGACTTAGTACTTGGTGGCAAAACCCTTGTTGGCAATCACAGAGATCAGACGTTTCTTGTAGTTGGCGACCAGGTTTGCATGCATCTCAGGAGGGATTTTGTCCCACTCCTCTTTGCAGATCTTCTCCAAGTCATTAAGGTTTCGAGGCTGACGTTTGGCAACTCGAACCTTTAGCTCCCTCCACAGATTTTCTATGGGATTAAGGTCCGGAGACTGGCTAGGCCACTCCAGGACCTTAATGTGCTTCTTCTTGAGCCACTCTTTTGTTGCCTTGGCCGTGTGTTTTGGGTCATTGTCATGCTGGAATACCCATCCACGACCCATTTTCAATGCCCTGGCTGAGGGAAGGAGGTTCTCACCCAAGATTTGACGGTACATGGCCCCGTCCATCGTCCCTTTGATGCAGTGAAGTTGTCCTGTCCCCCAAAGCATAATGTTTCCACCTCCATGTTTGACGGTGGGGATGGTGTTCTTGGGGTCATAGGCAGCATTCCTCCTCCTCCAAACACGGCGAGTTGAGTTGATGCCAAAGAGCTCCATTTTCGTCTCATTTGACCACAACACTTTCACCCAGTTGCCCTCTGAATCATTCAGATGTTCATTGGCAAACTTCAGACGGGCATTTATATGTGCTTTCTTGAGCAGGGGGACCTTGCGGGCGCTGCAGGATTTCAGTCCTTCACGGCGTGGTGTGTTACCAATTGTTTTCTTGCTGACTATGGTCCCAGCTGCCTTGAGATCATTGACAAGATCCTCCCGTGTAGTTCTGGGCTGATTCCTCACCGTTCTCATGATCATTGCAACTCCACGAGGTGAGATCTTGCATGGAGCCCCAGGCCGAGGGAGATTGACAGTTCTTTTGTATTTCTTCCATTTGCGAATAATCGCACCAACTCTTGTCACCTTCTCACCAAGCTGCTTGGCAATGATCTTGTAGCCCATTCCAGCCTTGTGTAGGTCTACAATCTTGTCCCTGACATCCTTAGAGAGCTCTTTGGCCTTGGCCATGGTGGAGAGTTTGGAATCTGATTGATTGATTGCTTCTGTGGACAGGTGCCTTTTATACAGGTAACAAGCTGAGATTAGGAGCACTCCCTTTAAGAGTGTGCTCCTAATCTCAGCTCGTTACCTGTATAAAAGACAACTGGGAGCCAGAAATCTTTCTGATTAAGAGGGGGTCAAATACTTATTTCCCTCATTAAAATGCAAATCAATTTATAACATTTTTTATATGCGTTTTTCTGGATTTTTTTCTTGTTATTCTGTCTCTCACTGTTCAAATAAACCTACCATTAAAATTATAGACTGATCATTTCTTTGTCAGTGGGAAAACGTACAAAATCAGCAAGGGATCAAATACTTTTTTCCCTCACTGTATAAGGTTTATAAATCATCAAAATAGCATATGTTTTATGACAGTTACATAGTTTAAGTCGAAATTATTAGTATTTTACATTTGTTTTACAATATATTTGCATGAATTCATGTATCTGAACAGCATGCGATGCTGATGAATGCATTCCATCGCTTTTTTGTGTTAAAAACTAGATTATTATAAAAAGATCACTGTTAATGTAGTCTCATGATGCAAAGTAAAGTGTTTCTACCAACAGCAAAACATCTATCCAACGTTTTCATGTATAAATCATTCCATGTATTATATTATATCAGTCAAAAATAAAGTAATTTAACTTAAAAAACATACATAAAGAAAAGTTAATGCACATATTGTGTAGACATTTGTGAAGGTGGAATTCTGAAAGTCAGTTAAGTCGTGGATGGTGACGATGCTTATTTGTAAGTCAATGCCTTAACTTAAGAGCCCTGTACAGGAGGAGCCTTGTGTGGAGTCTTGGGTGGAAAGAAGAAAAAGAAGCTGATGTACATGTCCACCAAAAACGCAGGTGCGGTTCGAGAGAGGATCGACTCGATGATCACCAGAGAACCTTTCTGTGGGTGCTTGTTCCATCCCATAAGGCTCTGCAGAGAGTGGCCGTGTGGTGTGATGTCAATTCCCTTTCCTGTGAAAAGCGTCACTCCAATTGGCATCACAGGTGTTAAATGGTTCACATAACTGCTCATTGCAAAACATCCCAAAGTGATAAAAAAAATTCCCAAACACTGTCAAAATAACAATTAGTGTTACGTATTTCCAATTAATTGTGTACATTATCACCAGCCATGATTATTCCACTGCTGGATGAAGACCCCCCCCCCCCAACCTGTCACCGTCTCATGTTGCTCTAGGTTAAAAGTTGGCCTAGCAGCAGCACACGAGCCGATTTCATCACTGCATCTCCTCGGTGGATGTAATCTCAGACTCACTCCTTCCCTTCGTTGTTGCTCCTTCATGTTTGTTAACTATTGGCTCTTCTTCCCTTCTCGTGACACATGCTGCCCAAGCAAACTTTTTCTCATTAGAAGTTAGAATGATGTCTTTAACCTGCATCTGTACTATAATATATACTAGCTTATATACACGGTTTATTTTGTTCATTCAAGATTGCATATCTAAGTTGTAATTCTGCAGTCTCTATTTCCCTCCTTATTTTCCCGTGAAATAAATTATTTCATTTGTTCATCATCAATGAATGTCAATAAATAAAAAATGCGATTGGCATTTCATTTTAAAAGAACACCATTAATTTTCCAAAAGACTAAATATTCTTGTTTTCTGAAAGAGCCAGTGTGTTAATACAGTGTGTGTATAGGGCTATCCAATATTACATAATTTGCAAAAGTTAAATTGCATGAACAAATGACGTGCTAAAACAGGTCGTTTAGATTCATGTCAGAAAAATAGAAAATACATGGAGCTCAATGTAAGTGCTATGTAATTGGATAGTTGAAAATATATACTTCTCTTAAGAATTTGTTGAAGCCATGGTTCAATGTGTAAAGCTTGATGCTACGTAGAAATCATAAACATATATTTTTTTCATGCAATATTATATAATAAGATTTAAGTTAATCAATATGGTCACATTATTCGTAAGATAATTAAAGCAAGATGTCTGGCCATAGTGGAAGAGTTGGCCAAACCACCCTCTAGAAGGGACCTTCTCGAGCTCCCTTTAGTGGTGGCAGTCCTTCCACCAGCAGTGGTGGGAGCTGGCAATTGCAGGGGCTGCACCTTTACCGTATACCTCATACAATGTGCCCATCTCTATCCCTTCCGTCTGACACAGAGTTTGACCGTCATGAGATCCTTATCTACGAAGAGATGGCCAAGATGCCCCCCTTCCAGCGGAAGACATTGGTGCTGATTGGAGCACAGGGTGTCGGTCGAAGGAGCCTGAAGAATCGCCTCTTGGTATCCGAGCCATCGCGATATGGCATGACCATACCCTGTGAGAGCTGCGCGTGGTTCTTTTGTCGCTTCGATCGCACGGTCCATTACTCACCCAAATACAGATCACGGGCACATGCCTGTAATCCAGCACCTCGGAGGTGATGGTTGGTGGATCGCACAAATGTCGTGAAACTCGCCTCCCGTAGGCTTGCCAGGAGAAGGCAAGAGAGCAAATATAGACCTCACTTATTCGGTCTGTACAGGATAGTGTTACCCCCTTGCACATGTGGGTTTTCTGCGGGTGTTCCAACTTCCTCCCGCATATAAACGCGAATAGATTTGCCGATAACATTCACCTGATGAAGGCCACTTGTGTTGTGGCCGAAACGTCGTGAGAATTTTAAAGTGTTATTTTATTTTATTAATTTATTATTTTATTCTCATTCTACGTGACTTTACCGAAAGAACCAAAGAAGTTGCTGATAGCACCTTCAATCACGAGGACTGCAGAGCTTTGGCAGTTATCGCTGCTGCTTTCTCACTTGTCCTGTGTTATATACGGCACGTTACAAGTTGAAATTATTTATTTAGCAGGTTTTTATCTTTCGATAATAAGAAAGTGACACGTGTTTTATAGTTGTATTAAAAAAAAAAACCCTCAATGCTCAGCACATCAATAGTCAACTTAAACTTGAGATTTACACCATCACTTGTGTGAATGCCCAAACAATTACACGTGACATTTTTTTTCCCAATAGTTATTGTATGACAAGCACGAACACAACTTGCATTTAGAAGTAGTGTGTCTGTGTTGCTCTACCTTGTTTCCAGCTGATCACGATACATGCGGAGTAAATTAACCTTATGGCAGGTCCCCGTGGTCCGGATTAAACGTAAGTGAAAATCGTAAATGATTAATTTATTTTTGGCGACTCCATCCTACCGCGCACATAAACGCCGCGACCCACCTCACGTGGATCATTCTGTTGTCGTGTCGTCCAAGCGCAGCGGATGCACTCCATGCTCGGGTATGGGCAGGATCATAACAAGTCTTATCCAAAGCTGCTCAAACTGCCGACACGACTTAAGTCCTTTATTTGTCATAACGGTATGCATAACACAGTGAAACTTATTATTTGTGACCTACCAATGTCTGCTGCCAGGATCAATCGATGACAATCCTATTACCTGCACATATTTAACAGATGAGATGCATTGCACCGTTAATTCCTCCTGTTTGATAAAACTTCTCTTGTCCGTATGCATCTGTGCAGATAGGTTTTTTTGCAGTTAAGCCATAGTCCCCACAAACCGCTCGTATCAATGTGGATAAGAGGAGCGGTGACCCACTACTCTGTAGAGTAACATTGGTATAAACGCTTGTTACAATATGAACAGCGCATTGAAAACGCGTACTAGTTTATGCACTGTTTACAAAGTGTGTTCACAAATCCACACTGAGAAACGCGATGATTGACAGAGGGGTGTAAATGATTTTTTCGATAGTGTATTTAAATAGAGGTACTGCAGGTAAGTAGTTTTCAGTTTTAAAGGCATAGTTTAACAAGACAACACTTGTTAAACTATGCCTTCAAACCTGTTGGTGAAAAAGAGCAAAGTTTTTGTTTACATTATGATATGATGTTTACATTATATATAACACGTAATATAATGTTTACATTATAATATAATGTTTATGCAAGAGCCGGGGGCTTAAGGGACCCTGGGGTCCCGCCATAATGTTCAAATAACCTAAATTCATTTATTTACATAACCAAGGTTATGTAACATAACCAGTTTACTCTAATTTCAGCTAAATATTTTGGCTTTTGATAAAATGCAGATTTAGAACATACACTGAATTATTTTGCAGCATTATAGAGCAATTGTATTCCTAAAGTACACTTTCGCAGACAATCAGCTATCGTCTTACGTAAATATTAAGTAGATTTTATTTGTTAATTGGAATACCCAGAGAGTAGTGATCGTGACCCAGTTTAACCAAATTAATCCTCAAAGATTTACTGAGCACGAGTAATTACACATTGCAGGTCAATGTTTGGACCAAACTCTGTAAATATCGCGAGACGATCATGAGCAGGCGTGGGGAGTGTGAAAGATTTCCGAGATGTGCGACGATTTTTTTTATAAATAAATAAATAAAAACACCTTTTATAAATAAATAAATGCAAACCGCCACTTCTTTCAAATGTTTCTTGCCGTTGGTTTTCACACCTGATGATGACCGTTTGTGTTATGGTCGAAACGTCGTGAGAATTTTTATTGTTTTTTTATATATTATTATTTTATTGTTTCCCTTCAACCTGACTTTACCGATAGAGCTAAGAATATGAATTACTGCAGTCACGAAAGCTTTAAATCAAAATTTGATTAGTTTGTCCTCAAAAGATGGTGCATCGTCTGACTACGCCGAACACCCTCGCCCGGGTGGCTCCCGTCCGCAGTTACCTCGCGGAGGCCACGGGACGACGAGAAGGACGGCCAGGGCTACCACTTCGTGGCGAGGGCCGACATGGAGGTGGACATTAAATCTGGCCGCTACCTTGAAAGCGGCGAGTACGAGGGAAACCTGTATGGCACCAAGATCGAGTCGATCCACGGCGTGGTGCGTGCCGGCAAGATGTGCATCCTGGACGTGAACCCCCAGGTGATTTCTCACGTGACGCAGTTGTTTTTTGAGCCGATTTATATTTGATTTCATTGCTGTACTTTATTTGAATAATTTTTTCTGTTCTCCCATGGATGGATGGATGTTGAACTTATTTCACATCGTACGTAGCCAACCGTGCTAATCGGAGGTGCAAATAAAATTTGCTCCAACGTGGATTTACAGTGAGGGAAACAAGTCAGTTTAACACGTAGGCTTTCGCGACCAATATTATTCATAATAAAGTTTTTTGGGTTAGATCGCGTTATTTATAAATGTGTCGTAACCCTCCACCACCCGACACGGCCAATCAGCAAAAAAAAGTGTCACGTTGACAAAAGACAAATAATTCACTACTTTAGCCCACCGGTGTGTTTAAGAGTGAATCCACATTAACAGTTTGAGTACGACGTTTCGCTGGTAAATACAATATAAAACCGGGTTTATAAAACCGGGAGCAAGCGAGGGCTTTACCATTCTGGCGAATTGCCCGATGATGCTGGATGTATTTACCAGCGAAACGTCGTACTCAAACTGTAAATGTGGATTCACTCTTCAACACACCGGTGGGCTAAAGTAGTGAATTATTTGTCTTTTGTCAACGTGACACTTTTTTTTTGCTGATTGGCCGTGTCGGGTGGTGGAGGGTTACGACACATAAGTAACGCGATCTAACCCAAAAAACTTTATTATGAGGGAAACGAGTATTTGATCCCCTGCTGATTTTGTACGTTTGCCCACTGACAAAGAAATGATCAGTCTATAATTTTAATGGTAGGTTTATTTGAACAGTGAGAGACAGAATAACAACACAAAAATCCAGAAAAATGCATGTCAAAAATGTCATAAATCGATTTGCATTTTAATGAGGGAAATAAGTATTTGACCCCTCTGCAAAACATGACTTAGTACTTGGTGGCAAAACCCTTGTTGGCAATCACAGAGGTCAGACGTTTCTTGTAGTTGGCCACCAGGTTTGCACACATCTCAGGAGGGATTTTGTCCCACTCCTCTTTGCAGATCTTCTCCAAGTCATTAAGGTTTCGAGGCTGACGTTTGGCAACTCGAATCTTCAACTCCCTCCACAGATTTTCTATGGGATTAAGGTCTGGAGACTGGCTAGGCCACTCCAGGACCTTAATGTGCTTCTTCTTGAGCCACTCCTTTGTTGCCTTGGCCGTGTGTTTTGGGTCATTGTCATGCTGGAATACCCATCCACGACCCATTTTCAATGCCCTGGCTGAGGGAAGGAGGTTCTCACCCAAGATTTGACGGTACATCGGCCCTGTCCATCATCCCTTTGATGCGGTGAAGTTGTCCTGTCCCCTTATCAGGAAAACACCCCCAAAGCATAATGTTTCCACCTCCATGTTTGACGGTGGGGATGGTGTTCTTGGGGTCATAGGCAGCATTCCTCCTCCTCCAAACACGGCGAGTTGAGTTGATGCCAAAGAGCTCCATTTTGGTCTCATCTGACCGTAACACTTTCACCCAGTTGTCCTCTGAATCATTCAGATGTTCATTGGCAAACTTCAGACGGGCATGTATATGTGCTTTCTTGAGCAGGGGGACCTTGCGGGCGCTGCAGGATTTCAGTCCTTCACGGCGTAGTGTTACCAATTGTTTTCTTGGTGACTATGGTCCCAGCTGCCTTGAGATCATTGACAAGATCCTCCCGTGTAGTTCTGGGCTGATTCCTCACCGTTCTCATGATCATTGCAACTCCACGAGGTGAGATCTTGCATGGAGCCCCAGGCCGAGGGAGATTGACAGTTCATTTGTACTTCTTCCATTTGCGAATAATCGCACCAACTGTTGTCACCTTCTCACCAAGCTGCTTGGCAATGGTCTTGTAGCCCATTCCAGCCTTGTGTAGGTCTACAAACTTGTCCCTGACATCCTTGGAGAGCTCTTTGGTCTTGGCCATGGTGGAGAGTTTGGAATCTGATTGATTGATTGCTTCTGTGGACAGGTGCCTTTTATATAGGTGTTGAGGTGCAACTGACGACACGGACACGGTTCTTTAGTAGGGGCTGATGCCAAGGTCTATTAAGGGCTACTGCCGGTAACTTATTAAAGGCTTACGCCCAACAGGTGACATCCCTAATATCTCCCCAGGGGAAAGGGCACTGGGAGGTCCCTAGCTTCACCCAGGCTAGACGTGATCTCCCCCCCAGCACCGACCGAGGGATCACCCAACTCGGTCGGCCGGGTGAAGTATCACACTCGCCTGGCGCTGATTCCCCCTACCCTGGATCCCGACTCCCCCAACTCTCTCCGTTCCAGGCCCTTAGCGACGACCCCCTCTACGTCACGGGTTTCCCCTTATATATCCCCCGTAACTTCTGACGTCATCCCTTTCCACCCCCCTGAGTGACATGACGTCCTCCACTGCTCCTCTACACAGGTAACAAGCTGAGATTAGGAGCACTCCCTTTAAGAGGGTGCTCCTAATCTCAGCTCGTTACCTGTATAAAAGACACCTGGGAGCCAGAAATCTTTCTGATTGAGAGGGGGTCAAATACTTATTTCCCTCATTAAAATGCAAATCAATTTATTACATTTTTGACATGCGTTTTTCTGCATTTTTTTATGTTTTTCTGTCTCTCACTGTTCAAATAAACCTACCATTAAAATTATAGACTGATCATTTGTTTGTCAGTGGGCAAACGTACAAAATCAGCAGGGGATCAAATACTTGTTTCCCTCACTGTATGACTTTAAACACCCTAAAGACTGTTGTCATAATGACTCAGTTATTTCTTGACTTCAAGCTTTCGCTACTGCAGGAATTCATATTCTTGGGTCTTCGGTAAAGTCACGTAGATAGGTTCAAAGAAAATAGCAAAAAATAACAAAAACATTTCGACGTTTCAATCGCAACACAAGCAATCGTCATCAGGAGAAGAAAATGCGGGAAAGCTGCTGAGGCAGGATGTTTTAAAGGTTAGAAATGGGTGTAGCCCAAGGGTCATAAGCGAAGTGGGCGTGGCTAGTGATGTTAAAGTGAGAAATTTGCAAGTCAATGTAAGATCGGAGAACTACCTCCATGACGACGAAGCTGCGGAGGTGGCCATTGTGTTGTGAGAAATTAGCATATCAATGTAAGATCGCAGAGCCACCGCCACATCGAGGAAAACGAGCAACGGTGGCTGTGTTAGTGAGATGTTAGTAGTTAAATGATGACGTCACCCTGCTGCTCTATTTAAGACCGAGAGCAAGTGAGGGCTTTACCATTCTGGCGAATTGCCCGATGATGCTGGATGTAATTACCAGCGAAACGTCGTACTCAAACTGTAAATGTTGTGGATTCACTCTTCAACACACCGGTGGGCTAAAGTAGTGAACTATTTGTCTTTTGTCAACGTGACACTTTTTTGCTGATTGGCCGTGTCGGGTGGTGGAGGGTTACGACACATTTATAAATAACGCGATCTAACCCAAAAACCTTTATTATGAATAATATTAGTCGCGAAAGCCTACGTGTTAAACTGAATGTTAACTTGTCTCCCATAGTTAAGATCATCAATCAAGAAGAAAACAATAATGCCTGGCTTGAATGGTTATTGGAAAACATTTTTGTTAGTTTGAGAACTTATGTACAGTATCTTTGACAACAATGCGTAAACAAATTATATCTATGTGCAGAGTTGCATGTAAATAATATAAAGCATTTGTATGATGCAAAATATTGTTTTTATCAAATCTAATGGGCCAAAACTTAATTATTGTTGACAATTGTCATGTTTCTTGTTGCATAGGAAGGCTAATGACAGGTTTCAGGATGATGTCACCACGTCACCTGATGCACTCTGTGATCCACAGAGCTGTGTGGTAATGTACCCGAGGGATCCGTGCCGTGTGTGCCCCACTCTAGGCACTGAAGCTACTGCGGACGGCCGAGTTCATGCCCTACGTGGTGTTCATCGCTGCTCCATCGGTGGAGATCCTCCGCTCTATGCACAAGGCAGCACTGGATGCTGGCCTCACCGCAAAACATCTCACCGTGAGTATCCCACCGCGCGTCTACATGCAGGTGTGTGAAAGTGAGTGTGTGTGTCCTCAGTGTGAGGAGCATTGGCCCAGTGGATAGGGCACTGCGCTATGAACCCGGTGACCCGAGTTCAATTCCCGCTCACGGCCAACACCAGTGATGATTATCTGACACGGTCCTGGGCCTCCACTTGGTCGACTCAGTCTCAAATGAGTACCTGGTGCGGTGTGTAAACATTGTCACTAAGGAGACAAAGGTGTGCCGTACTGGCCTTCATAGGTGCTTTCTAACAGCACTTGTTGCAACAGTCTATTAAGGCTATACAGGGGATCTTTATCTGTGTGTCTTCATTGTGGTTAGTGGTGGCACAGCGGTTAGCATGCAGCACTAAAAACCCAGCAACTCAATTCCCACTCACGGCCAATACCGGTGATGATTATCTGACGCGGTCCTGGGCCTCCTGTAGGTCGAAGTGGGGGCCCTGGACTGAACTGCTTATTTTGGTGAGTAACCTGCTGACTCCATAAATAACAGAAAGCCACGTGAAAAGAAATAGTTCTCATTTTATACAATACACAAAGCACTGTGATCCTGTTTGGTGGATCTCAATGGGCTCCATAATCAACTAGAAAGCCATGATCAGGGGTTGGCAACCAAAATCAGAAGAGCCATTTTTTCTTAAATCGCTAAAATTTCAATATCAGTATTTCAAGAGCCACGATGCATGCGAATGACACCGCAAAGCAGTCCTTAAAGAGCTGCATGTTACTGACGCCTGGCTATGACCAACAATTACCCGGATGGATTCCAATTAGCGCGGTTGGCTATGTACGGTGTGAAAGAAGTTTAACATACATGCAGCCCTGTAATATACCACAGTATAGACATAATGTACCAACACCATCTATTGGTATACGTTTTCTTTTAAACGTATGAATTCTTTGTTGGGGATTTTTATTTTCCATCAGCCACATGAAAATTATTGAGTGCTTGTGTTCGTGCTCTGATTTGTCCTGAGATCGACAAAAACATGTTTTGCAATCTGCTCACGGATCCGCGGTCTACTCATGGAACACTATCCACTCATGGATCGTAATCCAAGTATTAGCCACCGCTGATGTATGGTATAGTTTTAGTTTCATATTAAACACGAAGCTCTACCTGCTAATAGCTCAGGCGCACATAATCATAGTCCTTTATTTATTTAGGAATGTGTCACTGTATCTTGCTACTCTTTGAAGGGTGCCTTTCATTGAGGTGTTTGTTTTATTTTTTTATGACTGATTTGCTAACATCAGTGACATGTGATATCAGAATCCCCCCTTTGTAAATCCGCACCGACCATTATTATATTTATTTATTTGTTTTGCGTGCTAAAGTATAGTCAAAATACTCCAGAACCAACATAGGTGGATTAAGAATGGCTGCAATAATATACTCAAGGTAACATATTAATTCAAGCTTCAGTACTTATGGATTTCAAGTGTCATTTGTCTGACTGTGCCAGCTGTGTGGCCTATGGGTTGGCCATGCCTACTGCTCGGGAGTCGGCGTGGTAACATTGCAATTTCTCTGCCACAGGATGCTGACCTGAAGAAGACGGTGGATGAGAGCACCCGCATTCAGCGGGCATACATCCACTACTTTGACCTGACGATAGTCAACGACAACATGGACGAGGCCTTTGCAAATCTGCGCGCTTACCTCGAGAGGCTGGTCAAGGAGCCCCAGTGGGTGCCAATCGGCTGGGTGTACTGACAGGGGCATTCACGAGAAAGGCCCATCGGTCATCACATCAGCTCACTGGTCTGCCCCTTGTGAACCTTAGCCACGTGCTGTGTGGGGGGGCACGCGAGGTTGCCACTCTGTCGAGGATACTGGTGGCGGCCTTTGATTTCAAAGCCAGGTGGGCTCGGTGGAGAAGATTCCTCTTGAGTTGCCCATCACACGTTTCATGGGAGCGTAGGAGCGTAGCGGATTATGTGGCATGCAAATGCCGTGCTTGGGGATAACCAAATGAAAGCTTAGCACCGGTTTTGTAAAGTTGACACCTGTTCACTTCACTTGTGTCCACTGAACCGGGTTTGCTTCATTTGTTTTTGCTTGTTGATAGGGACGGTTTACCTTGTGTGACTAGCAGTAAAGGTTCAAAGAGATTATTGTGTGTTCCATTGCACTGGACACATGCAATGTGTTGTCTCATGCCAGCCTGTGCGTATAATGGTGCTGTTTATTTCTGTAAAATTAGCTCCAGGCAAACCTTTATCAAACCTTTAAGTCCACCTTTTACAACTATATTATGTTATTGTTAATTCAGAATTCAGAGCATTCATCTCACAAATGACGTCTGTTCATGTTGTAATACAGCAGCAGTGGTGGTGGTGTTCCACATACAGTGATGTGTTGTTGATTTAATCATATAAGCTAGTGCTGGGGAATAAATGTCATTGGTCAGCGTTGTCATGTTTGTCCCCACATCGTCATACAGAGAGTATTTTGTTTTATTCGTTACATCTTTTGTGTAATTTTTTTTTTGTTTTTGCATTTCTCTTTTCTTGGAAATGTCTTCATCTACGCAAGCATGAAATCACCTTGAAAATATCTGCAAGTCATAAGTTTAGCATGAGAATATTAACAAATCTGATTTTTTTTCTCCTTAAATTAGGCAAAATATTAAACACATCTGTTCATATTTCAGTCGCATACATTTTTTGTGACAAATATATTTCTTATAAACGAGAAGCTGTTGTGCAGGCCTTGTAGCTCTTAGGCCTACAAAACAGGCACAGCGCACTTTCTTTCACGGTCACTTATGTCAGTCCCCGTTTAATCGGAAAGGAAGCTGTGAAAGGCCAATCTGTTAATTGAGTTGGATCTTTGATTATTGCTTGGCAATTGTGTCCAAGTGTATACAAGATGAACAGTGTGGATTTCTGTATAATCCGTTTTACGGTTGGTTTTAAGAACTACAGGTACTTAACCAATCTGTACTTTAAAAAAAATCTAACACTCACCTAATATTGCACAACTCTTTTCTATAAAAAAAATCTCAACGGTTATCTCCTTAGATCACTGTTTTTTTATGGACTTGTTTGAATCGTCCCATTTGCAGTTGGAAATAATACATTGCTACTATTTATACTTAAACCTCGCATTCACATAGCAAGGTCTTACCAAATATTATTGAGGGTAGTTTTGATATCTGCTACTTGCTTGCAGCTTTATTTGAGCCAGAAAAGTTGTAAAGCGCCTTACCATTGCTCCTCTTGAGCAGTACACTGCTATGTTGTTGGACAAATGAGATGATAGGAAAGTATTTGAATTCGCCTTCTCTGTAGCTACGTATAGGGAACTTGATGGATTTGTGTGAAATCATCATCCTTAAATTTTTATTTAAAGCTTTCGTGACTGCAGGGATTCATATTCTTGGTTCTTTCTGTAAAGTCACGTAGAAGGGAAACAATAAAATAATAAAAAATATTGTTTTATATTTTTCTTATTTTATTGTTTCCCTTCTATGTGACTTTACCGAAAGAACCAAGAATATCATCATCCTTGTTGGTGTAACTGTGCCTGAATGCACGTGCACAATTTGTTGCACTAATAACAATTTTATGTTCTTGTAATTTTTTTTATTGTTGTCTTCATCAGTCCCATATTATATACCTTTGACAGGTAGCATATCGTGCCGTTATATTTTGTGCCATTTGTGGACACGCAAGAATGCATACATTTCTTAATATCAGTTTGTGTGTCATTTCCATGCTGCCATTTTAGTCGAGAGGAAATGCTCCCAGGATAGCACTCAACCCCTGATGCAAGGGAGTGGCCTTCACTTGGTCCTCTTTTTATTTTCATTTTTAAACTGGTGGTTCTTTTTATGTTTTATAAAAAATGGGCTCTGATACCTGCACATTTTGTCAATGACACTGACATGCAATATCTACATTAATGCTACTGGGCGCTTAAGTCACATGACCTACTTTGATAATACCCTGCAACATTACAGAATTGAGATTATTTCAGCCACCTCTACAACTGTTGTGATAACCACTAGGCTCTCCAGCCTTGTAAATGGACCATTAAACACTGGGAAAATATTAACATGTTCCGAATCTTTCATAGGTTACCTTAATGTAGCCATAAAACTGGGACAGCAACCATCCATGACATATATCAATATTTATACTTCTGATTAAATGTAGCCAAACATGAACCGACAGGAATTGACTTTGTTCATCTGCAAGGGTGTCTGTATGCATTAGCATGGTTGGCTACGTACGGTGCAAAATAATTTCAGCATACATACATCTACAATATATCACGTAGGCTTTCGCGACCAATATCATTCATAATAGAGGTTCTAATACAAAAAAAACTATATTATGGACATCTACAATACTTTCAAATATTACATTTTCTCTTTGTACATTTTTCCTTATTTAGCATCCCATTTTAAAGGCTCCAAAGTCTCCATTGACATAATTAGAATGTTCCCTGATTAAACATTTTCCTGCAGCTATCGTTCAACTTGGCTGGTTCCTTGAAAATGTTGAGGTATCGCTATTTTACTCTCAAGTGATATTGAAACAAACAACAAACTCGTGCTGTCTTTTGTACTGCTGCGTTGAACTAATTCAAATGGCGTTTACATAATTTTTACTTACATTAATCAGGACAATGTTACACATGAAAGCGGACACATACATTTCATTCTAGGTTCCTGACCCTCTCTGCTCACAATCCCAGCTCTCTCTCTCTCTTCTCCTACCTCCTTAGTGCCCAATCGCCATTCCATTCGTTCTCGCTCCTGGCCCCCTTATACTTGAACAGGCTGCAGCCTACACGTCAAACAATCAGCCTCACTGACTCTTTGTCGTTCTTCCCTTAAAACTCACTATTTTCCCTCGCTTACCTATTATTAACACCATCATCATCATCCCTCTTGCCAACTTCTCTACCCATTCATCACACTCACTCATCATTATTAACCACTCCTTGTCACTCGCATCATTGTTTATTTCACGCATCACACTCATCTTGCACTCCCATCCTTCTCATTAGTTTGGCTCATCTCAGGACACTTTGCCGCTGTACAAATACATCGTTATTTGTTGAACTACCTTGGCCAAGACGCTATATACATATTCTTTGGTTCTTTCGGTAAAGTCACGTAAGTGGAAAAATTAATATAAAATAAATTAAATCGCGACGTTTCGATTGCAACACAAGCAATCATCATCAGGTGTGACAACCACAGCAATAAATACTTTTTACTGCTGTGTTTCTGTAGTTGTCACATCTGAAGATGATTGCTTGTGTTGCAATTGAAACGTGATTTAATTTATTAGATTTTTTAATGTTTTCCACCTACGTGACTTTACCGAAAGAACCAAAGAATATGGATCCTTGCAGTCACGAAAACTTAAAATCTAGAACGCTATATACATTGAGATACGTTGAAAAAAGGGGAAAAACCCTATTATTACATTTTGGTACTGGCAAAGGAGGTCTAATGATGTAGATGCTAACCCCGAGCCCTCATTACTTTGATAGTGCATTGTCTTTGAGCTGTACGCCTTCTGGCGTCATCTGGTCGAGCACCAATTGGGTCGAGGCACAAAAGAAAGTTGTCCCTTGGTGTGGACCAGTCAGTTTCAAGGACAATGCATATATTATCATAGTATGTTTTTTGTTTGCATTTTGACTGCAGGTATTGTGGTTAATGCAGACATGAATCCTCGTAAAAAGGTTTCAGTTTTGTTACCAGAAAAAAAACGGGGAAAACCCTATTATTACATTTTGGTACTGGCAAAGGAGGTCTAATGATGTAGATGCTCACCCCGAGCCCTCATTACTTTGATAGTGTATTGTCTTTGAGCTGTACGCCTTCTAGCGTCATCTGGTCGAGCACCAATTGGGTCGAGGCTCAAAAGAAAGCCGTCCCTTGGTGTGGACCAATCAGTTTCAAGGACAATGCATATATTATCATAGTATTTTTTTGTTTGCATTTTGACTGTAGGTATTGTGGTTAATGCAGACATGAATCCTCGTAAAAAGGTTTCAGTTTTGTTACCAGAAAAAACGGGGAAAACCCTATTATTACATTTTGGTACTGGCAAAGGAGGTCTAATGATGATGAAATAAGATATGTAATAGTAGTAATAATATGAATAATTCTTTACAGCCTTTGTAAAACAATTGAACTGCGAGATGAAGGACTTCCCACACCATGGCGGCCGTATCCAGATGGATAGGGTAAACTACACACACACATGTATGTTTTTTTAATTCCATGTCATATGCGACCCTAACATGTTTAAGTGAGTTCTGAAAACACAATTTCCAGTTAAAATTCCATTTTGTATATTTAGTGAAAAAACGTGCGGAATCATTAGTCTTAAAACATTGCACACACCATCTGTATTGTGAGTCCCCAATTTATGACCTGAACATTCTCGTAATGCATACACTACTTTCAATACAATGAAAATGTCATGGCCATGCATCTGTGTACAACCTTGACTTTTATTTTTAGCGACTCATATCGGCTTATATAAACTGTATCTTGGGTTTTATAGTTTAGTTCCACCTCGGGGATTAACAGGTTAAACCCAAATTTATTTTTAAAGCTTTTGTGACTGCAGGGATTCATATTCTTGGTTCTTTCGGTAAGTCATGTAGAAGGGAAATAATAAAATAAAAATAAAACAAAATTCTCACGACGTTTCGATTGCAACACAAACAATCATCATCAGGTGTGAAAACCACAGCAAGAAAATTTTAGAAAAAAGTGGCGGTTTCTTTTTTTCCAAAAAAAGTCTTGCTGTGGTTTTCACACTTGATGATGATTGCTTGTGTTGCAATCGAAACGTCGTGATAATTTTTATTATATTTTATTTATATTATTTTATTATTTCCCTTTTAGGTGACTTTACCGAAAGATCCAAGAATCGCTTAAACCCAGTCTCATGGTAACTTCTCTTACATTTCGTCCACTACGCTACTTCAGGCAACCAGCCATTCCATTATGGATTCCCTCGAAACTGATCATTTTAAATAAATGTTTTATTATTTGAATTTCAGTCGGAGTTTGTTGATCTTTGTTTTATTCCTCATTGATCTACTGGACATCTGTAAAGAGCTTCATAACTCATCGGATTTCTCCAGGAAAAATACAGATTTTTCATTATTAAACATCGAATGACAAACACAAGGTTACTCCGTGAATACACGCGGAACATGTGGCACCGCTAGTCCTTGCACAACCCCGTGGCAAAAGACAAGGCATTGCCAAATCGCAGATTGGTATCTTCAATTGAACACGATCTGGGAGATAGAGCCGGAACTCTGTCTGCTACAGCTGTGCTGTAACCTGTCTGAGCTGTCCTGGTCTTCGGACTGATGTTGGTGGATACATATGCTGATGTGAGCTGTTGACGTGCCACCTACCACTGCTGATGATGGTGATTTAAATACAAAAATGCAATGGTCACAAAGATCCACGTGCTTGCTGGGCGATGTGAAATGTGCCAGTGATTGCTGCTTACAAAAAGTGGTCATCTTGCCCTACTGCAAAGTGTAATTTATTTCCCAATAGTTCTGTGTGGAATGTGTTTTTTTTCTTTTACATGAAAGGTGATTCTCAAATATTGTTTTAAGCCGGTAAACACCTGACACTTGATTGCATTGCACCTGTTGAAATTCTCAGAGCACGGCCGAAACTTGCACTCAGTCACATTTGTTTATAGCATCGTAAGATAACTTACGCAAAACTATTCAAATGTTTCATCTCTCTGATTCTCCTGTTGAAGCATAAACATCTTCATTACCCTTTAAACGCATTGTTTCCAGTGCTTTTTTAAGGTAGTGCACGTATATGTAAATTCTAGTATATGAATATGCATTCCACGTTTAAAAATAAAAAGGCATCATTGCATCTTGAAATCTTTTTTTTTAAAGAACTGCCTTGCTTCTTGTGCCGACAACGAGGCCGTGCCGACATCTATTTTGTGCGAACAATCTTTTACACTCAATCTAGATTTGAAGTTTTCGTGACTGCAGGGATCCATACTCTTTGGTTCTTTCGGTAAAGTCACGTAGGTATAAAATACATTAAATCAAATCACGACGTTTCGGGCGCAACACAAGCGTTCGTCATCAGGTGGTTAATTTTATTTTATACCTACGTGACTTTACCGAAAGAACCAAAGAGTATGAATCTTTTACCCTCTTCAAGGAGTTTGTATCATCATATGTATCTATATAGATATTTTTAATGGTGGGTTGGGGCAGATGTATTTGCTAATAGAGCCGGCTGTTCTGAGCTGCAGCCCTCACTGTTAAGGCATTATTGTGTAGAATGAGTCATGTCAGTATTGAAGATGTTTTAAATTAGAGAGAGTTTTTGGCTTGTTTTATTATCATAATCGTCACCAGTGATGCCATTGAGAATATATTGTGCATGCTTTGTGCACACGAACACAAACAGGACATAATTCTTTCTCACACCAACCTCGCCTGCCAAGGGATGTGCAGCTGCATTTCTATACACGTGGAGAGTGGTCATCTCGTGAAATTGATCGGTGGGTATTATATTTTACTTGTTCTAGCACTATTACGTTATTACGAGTGTATTAATTCGGATTTTTAAATAACTAATTTAGCATTATTGTTAGAAACAATACGATGAAATTATGTAAGCAGACTGCCATGATGAACGGAGTTGAATTTGTGTGATTTGAAGAAAGTTATAATAGGACACTACAGAGACTTCCACGTTGCTCCCTTTTAACATAGTTGACAGGATCACTTGAATGAGATACGAACATACGACTTAAACATAACACTGCATATTTCTTAAGGTTACCATGGATAAAACCCCTGCTGTTTGCTAAGTAGATGGTGAACACGGCAAGCACCGTTATGTGGATTAAATTATGTATTTGCACAATAAAATGTATCTGTTCATGGGAATAATGCATTCTCCACTCGTGCATCTGCTGTTTTAGCCCTGCTCAATACTGGTTGACTATCACAGCTGTATGTTGAAGAGGACACAAGGTACCCAAGCTGGAAGAAGAAACGTAATCTTTCGTTTCGTTTTTTTCGGAAAATGTACAAACATTCAACAGCGCATTGTCAGATTGTTGCAACGCATGCGGATGTACGCACAATTGTCGAGGGTTTGCGGATTAAAGAACATAACAGAATTGTAAAACACTTGTAAATGTTTTCCTTGGAAAATTCGATTTGCTTGCACTGTTGGAGAGATCAATGGAAGGTTCTTTATATCCAGCCATTTCGAGATCTGTAAAGAAGTACATTCGCATCGTACCAGGGACCCTGGTGCATCCCAGTGCCACTCGTTTATGTTGAGTAAATTTTATTCGTTCCTACAATATTTCAGCAACAACAAAGTGGACTAACCAGACGTGTATCTGTTATAGTAGTGTGCTCTATATATATCATTGTCAGTGAGGCACAATTTGACTTAGTGCTCGTAGAAGGATTCTGAATATCAAGCTTCTTATTCTTTCCTCATACATTTTTGTACCAATTGTCAAGACATAATCACGGTCCATCAGTGGCGCAGGACACAAGCTGTTTTGGAACATTCGGTCATGCATTGAAACAATGATTTGAATGATAAAACGATCTGAAAAGTTTCAACATTTTTTTCCACATACACGCAAGTCCCGTGCCATTCTCTAATTTACTCAATTCTGATCGTTTATAAGGAATAATGTGTCAGTGCAATGATCTGCTGCATCTCCGAAAGCTGGATAGTGGTGCCAAAATATTCACCTTGTCACCAAAAGTGCCAAAATATATTTTACGACTGTTGGTACCTTTATATATATAAAAAATGCTTCTTTAGAATTCAAACCAATCCTGGCCATAATGCTTGTTACACATACCTGATACAAGTGCTTGACTTGTGCCATGGTAGACATGCATCCTTGACTGACATTTCTTATCTCAGATTGGATGTCTTTGTTTCTCTTCGACGTCATCTAAATATTTTCTGCACTGAGTGTAAAGCGTTTTTTGATGTCTCACCTTTTCAAGGAGTTTCACGATAGTTTTTCACCTTTGATTCAACATGTGCCCCGTTGACCAATATTTTTACGGAATAAAACGTCTCAAAATTGTGCTAAACGCGCCACTTTGTTTCAATATTTGAAATGCACGTGTTTACTTTCATTGATTGCATAATGTGTCGTCAAAAAATGTATGAACGTTACAAAATGGTACCGATAGATTTTCAGAAACTATTCTCTGCATCAAGTGGGCCTATTTAATGGCAACAGCCTTGGTTCCGGTCCAATAACTGTATTCAGAAAAGGAGGTTTGCACATTTATAAATCGTTAATCTGCACTTCTTTAGTTTTTGAATGGATTTAGCACTTTGTAATGAAATGTTAAATACATCTTTTTTTATGTTGCACAAACTTTGACATCATTGTAATGGGAATGTGAGAATGCATTTAGAACCACTATCGACTCATAGTTTAATGAGGCAGTCTTTTATGAGAAGAGAGAATGACATCTTTTTCAAATCCTGTATTTCCATGTACCTTGTGTGCTCATTCAATGCCATTTTTAACATATAATTTGTGACATGTGTGTGACATGTTGTGGGTACACTTAGAATTATAGTCTCGATATATAGTACACGATTGGTTTTGCACGTTCATGTTTTGTGGATGGAATCACTAAAAACAATCTGAACCACTTTCGCGTAATAGCTCTAAAATAATGCTTTTTCATATTAACGCGCATCTTGTAAAACTGTTCATTTGACAACATGCCCGATCCAGAACAAAATGGAGATATTTATTTCGTGTGAACGCTGTGCAACCACATAATAAAGTTTTTTTTTATTGTTTAAAAATGCAAACTAATGGTTGTTTTTTTTTTCGATGTACAGAACATTAGTTGTGTCATTTATTAGCTGTATTTAATTAATAACGTGTGTCTTAGTGTGTCTTTGTCTTTGGTATGCTTGTTTGTGCAGTCATAGATTCACACTTAGATGAGAAGTGGTGACGCAGTGACGAGTGTGCAATGTTAGGATCCAAGTCATTACGTTTCAATTTCTGGTCATGCGCAATGCAAATGGGAAATTGGTATCTGCGCCTGCCCTAGATATTCACCCGATGCCACTCCATCTAAATTGAGCACCTGCTGTGGTACGATCAACATTAAGAGTAGTTATTTTATATTATTACGCGCCTTTCATCAAGGGATCTCGCCTCCGCTTATAATGGTTGGCTACGTACGGTGCGAAAGAAGTTCAACATAGATACATACGTAGACTTAAAAAATAACTCGTAAAACAAAGAAGCCGAGACAAAGGTGGCTGATCACAATGCTCACTACATGACTCCATTCTGTATAGGCAGTTGATTGGAAGGAATTGTTAAATCTTTTACTTGTGATTTACTTAATACATGTAATCAATGAGAGATTATTTTATTTTAAACTTAAATCCATAAGAACGCTGCATGGTGTGTTAATTTGTGTTCTGAAAATAAATTGGGGAAACAAATGTAAGTGCTATACTTCAAATTGAAGGCCAGTTCGTTCGTTTGTTTCTCAATCCGCTTGTTCTGGTGAGGCTCGCGGCAACAGCATGTTGAGTCGTGCCGGTCCAGACCTCCCTTTCTCTGGCTCTTCCTAGGGAATTTCCAGGCGTTCCCAGGCCATGCCAAGCGACATAGTCCCGTTTAACACATAGACATAGTCCCACCAGGGTGTCCTGGGCCGGCCCCGGGGTCGTCACCCAGTGGGACGTGCTGCCCGGTAGAGTTTCAGGGGGAGTCTACCGCGGGGCATCCTTACCAGGTGCCCTAAACACCTCAACTGGCTCCTCTCAATCCAGAGGAGGCTCTTCCCGTTTACCGAGTTCCTCACCCGATCACGGAGAGTGAGCCCGGCAACCCTGCGGAGAAATGTACTTTTTGCCCCTTGTATTCGCGATCTCGTCCTTTGGTCATTACCCAAAGCGCATGACCATAGGTGAGGGTGGGAACGTCGATCGACCTGTAAACCGACAGCTTTGTTCGAGAACTCAGCTCACGCTTCACTACCACAACGGTGCGTCGCCCGCAAGACTGCGTGCGGATGCCGCGCCGATCCGCCGGCCAATCTCCTGCCTCCACTTACCCTCACTCATCTCCTCCACTAAGGGCAGCTGTTCCCCCCTCACCTGGAGAGAACAATCCACCCTCTCCCGAGAGTGAACCATGAACTCAGCTTTAGAGGTGCTGATCCTCATCCCGGCCGCTTCACACTCGGCATCATACCGTTCAAGTGCACGCTGTAGGTCACAGACTGACGAGGCAAAGAGGTTACAACAACAAACAATACAAAAACATGATAGGAGTGCAAAGTACAAGAAAGGTATAGAAATCACCTAAATTTTGACTTAAAGCTTTCGTGACTGCAGGAATTCATATTCTTGGTTCTTTCGGTAAAGTTACGTAGATAGGTTCAAAGAAAATAACAAAAATAACAACTACGACGTTTTGATCGCAACACAAGCGGATCGATACGTCGTAATTTTTTGTTATTTTTTGTTATTTTATTTGAACCTATCTACGTGACTTTACCGAAAGACCCAAGCATATGAAATCACCCAAACACATACAAGTAAAACTAAACCATTCCCATGCTATTAGGCAAAGCCCACTGAGGTATTAACTTATTTTTCAAAATCGACTTGGCCACAAATGATAGCTCAATAAAGTGGATTATCATTTGGACATTTATCGCAGCAAAATAATCTAACACGTTAAAGGGTTAATAATATTAATTAAGATTCACATAACAATCATTCAGCAGGAATCGACACATCCAATGGCACGCAGACTCGAAATGCCTGTACCGGCATGTCTCACTTAAGAAGCGAGATACGTTCTACGAAATTTTGCTCGTTAAGCGAAAACGCGTTGAGTGATCATCGTTTTCCCATTGACTCCCATGTTAAAAGCTGAGATATGTTTCAGCCCCCAAATTTTGCACTCTTGAACAACTGTTTTTTTAACGTGCAAAAATACAAATTATAAGATTAAAATAAAGTATAAAATGAACCACTCCCTGTTGTTTGGCTGTTTCCTTCCCTGAGCGGAGGATGGTCCACACACACGCAGGTGGCGAGCTGTCTGAAGCGCCACCACTACAAGCTGCAGGACAGTGCTCATTACTGAGCAATTCAACCGTGGCAAAGGGTCAAAGGTGGAATGTGACTCGGGGTCTAGCAGCTGTGCTAATGTCTTCGACTTTTCCCCAACTCCCAGCGCTGTCTGCATTTTGATGTCATCCTATATGGATTATGACAGCTGTGATGGATTGTGGTGTTGAGGAGTTAAGGTACAGTGGTAGCAAGCAGTTCATCAATATTTCAAGGTTGTGGCCAATCCACCACTGGACTGGGGACACTCTACATGATCAATGTACTGCAACAAATTCGTGTAGCTTTCCTACCTACGCCAAATTTGTCAAAGAATTATGACCTTTATTTGGTAAAGGGCATACTTTAACTAGTCAATGTTTATGGAGATTATGGGTGTTGTAACCAATCGATTCAACATTTTACATTGATTCTAATGCTCACCGTCATGCATGGAATCACGCATGTGAGAACCAATTTGGATTCATATATGGTTTGCATGTAATGAGGTTATATTAGATCTTTGACTATGACCACATCACCCACAATACACCTGATCCTGTAAGATCGGGCAAGCTAAGCAGGTTGGGCCTGCCCAGTAAACGTGCAAACGTTGGGCCAACGTTGATCCAGCGTCGGATGGGTGACTCCCGTTAACAAACAGGTTGCTATCGGAGTGAGCAGCAGAGAGCAGTGAAGAAAAATACATTGTTGTACTCCACTTCTATAATCCCATGTCTATGCTCTCCACTCTCACCGAAGCACATTGACCAGCATGATGAAGTATGATCTAAACAAACTCTGCAACCGGTAATGGCAGCGGGGAGTCCCTCACCCCCAGTAGGTGGGCTGACAAAAATGATGTGCCGCACTTGTACATGACTCCTGCAGCCGCTGGAGGTTTAAGATGCGCCACATTGTGAACTAAATATATATACGAATCAAATTGTGAAAAAAAAAATATCGTGATGATTAACAGGGACGAATTGGTGCATGTTTAATGGGTTTGTGTCCAGATATATCCCAGTGTGAGCTGAGTATGTCTGAAGTATTTGTAGTCAACCTATATCCTGCATGAATGGACTGTGATTGCAATTTACTTCAAGTGTATTAACTGACAAAACACACTTGATGGTATAAAGCCATTACACTAATTGTTTTGTGCTAAAATTAGAGGTGAGATAAGAGGATTGGGGAAGTTTGTTTCGTAGTTGTGGTGAGTGATGGGGGTTGTAAGGGTGACCAAACTGGCTTGTCAAATCTAATCACATTGATGAAAGGAGCAATCTTAATCTGTTATCTTGATGACATACGTTGACATACATCTTACGTCAGCGGTAGACTACAACATGTTTTAAACAAAATTAAATTAAGGTCAGCGAACGCAGTACTCGATAATGTATATACGCTGTAGTTTATATTAATTTGCACTGTGGTTTAAAAAAAATATAAACTTTGACTGCACTGGTGCTTGCGAAAACCCTGTACAGTACAAGCAGAGTAATTCTGGCATCACAGTGCCCTTATTTTATATATTACTTCATCAATGACTTTCAAGACCATTAGTAGTCTTATACATATTTCACAAATTGCCACTGCGTACAATTAGTTGTGATATCAGCCTCTTTGTGACATCCCATAATGAAGGTAAGTGTCCCATCTGGTCGTGGGAAGCCAACACATGCATTGTGCCACCGCTTCGAAGCCATTGCCTGAGATGTCAGCTAAATATTCGTGCTGCGCCAGGTACTCCTTTGAGGTTCAGTTGACCGAGGGGATGCACAGCACCGATGCAGATAATCGGCACTGGTGTTGGTGGCCGTGAGCGGGAATCGAAGCGTAGTGCTAACCGCTACACTGCCACTACCCAGAACACAGACACATCGCTATACATACGTACATGGTGGGATAAAGAGGTACGGTATTTACAACACCGATAAGGGTTGTTTTAGGCTCCTTTTATATTGATTAAATATTGACATGTACAGTACACATATAATTGCTACAAATGTTCTGAAATTATAACTGTAAATTTGAATCAGTGTAAAATTCAGTTTAACATATAGGCTTTCGGGACGAATATTATCCATAATAGAGGTTTTTGGGTTCGATCGTGTAAATATAAATTGTCGTTAAATCTGCCACCACCCGACACAGCCAATTCGTAAGGTTTGTCAACGTTACTAACACCGGTGTGTTGGAGAGTAATCCCACAAATTGACAATTTTGTAAACGTTGTTGTTTTATTTTACAACACACCGGTGTGCTAAACTAGTAACGAATTGGCATGTTTTGTTTATGTGACAAACCCTACTAATTGGCTGTGTCGGGTGATGGCGGGTTTAACGACACATTTCTTTTTACGTGATCTAACCCAAAAACCTCTATTATGAAGCAGTTAAAAACTGTAGTATATTCTAAAAAAAAATATTATGGAAATGCTCTTCATTTCCAATGACATATTCATGGTATAATTATGTAAATGTATTATTGGAGGAATTGGTCTCCACGTAGAGGTTATATGTTCTCTGCTAAGGGTCAACAAAGGTGATTAACTCCAACACCATGCTTGTTTGAGTGCATGATTTGACATGCACATTTACACAATTCTATTGCACGTGGTAAAGGTGACAGTCTTTATACCAGATGTATTTTACATGCTTAGAATTCTCCGCATCACACGCCGCATGCCTGAATTCAAGCGCAAATGAAAACCCATCAA